GGCTTAAATGGCCTCAGGTCGATCGTAAGGTAACGTGTAACCAACGCTGAAAAGCCGTTTGCTCTATCTCAATCCATTGAGAAGTTGCAGCACTTTGAAATCAGTTTTGATGGAAAACAAACAATGCAAAATAGTGATTTTTGGCAATTTTGAGACGTTCACCTTTTGCCAATTTTACAGGAAATTTAAGATTGAGCATGCTGTTACATGTACAGAGGCTATTGTCCAGTCAACATTTGTGCCAATTTTCATCAGTATCGCAGCATTTTTCATAATTCCATAGCAATTTGAACTTTTAACAGGAGGCTTTCCAATGAAAACGGCCATTTTTGACAATTTCCTCATCAAGAAAAGGGTTAAATGTTTTTCTCTGAGATTAATAAATGAAAATCAAGTTGAAATGTTTAACTGGTGGAAAACAAGGGAAGCAATTTTGAAAAACCTTGGAATAAGTAACTTGTGGACAATGTTTGAAAATGAAAAAGTCCCGCCTGATTTTGTCTGCAAATTATCTATGCAGGAAATGAAATACTTGGGGATAAATAACAGTCAAGATGTGATGAAGCTCAGATAAGAGTGTATAGAATTTGGCGAAAAAACGTCTCCATTTTTTAAAATAACCAATCAAAATGTTCCGGTAAACAAACAGGTCATCTATAAATAGTTCATCATCATCGTAATAAAAAATCACAGAACCATACATCAAAATAGTATCACCATGTATAAAAAGAACATCACCACATAGCAAAATAGTATAACCATTTATAAAAAGAACATCACCATATATCAAAATAGTATAACCATTTATAAAAACAACATCACCATACATTAAAATAGTATCACCATTTATAAAAACAACATCACCATATAGCAAAATTACAGCACCATTTATAAAAACAACAGCACCATATATAAAATGACACCACCATGTACCAAAGTGACACCACCATATATCAAAACGAGCTCACCATTTATCATTACTGCAGCACCATGTATCAAAACAACAGCACCATATATATAATTACATCACCAATAATCAAAATGACAAAACCAGCTAACAAAACCACAGCACCATCTGTCAAAACGACATCACCATTTATCTAAACCACAGCACCATTTATTAAATCCACAGCACCATTTATTTAAACTACAGCACCATCTGTCAAAACGACATCACCATTAATCAAAACCACAGCACCATTTACTTAAACTACAGCACCATCTGTCAAAACGACATCACCATTTATCAAAACCACAGCACCATTTATTAAATCCACAGCACCATTTATTTAAACTACAGCACCATCTGTCAAAACGACATCACTATTTATCAAAACCACAGCACCATTTACTTAAACTACAGGACCACGTATCACAACTACATCACCATTTATTAAAACCACATAACCATGTATCAGAACCACAACACTATCTGTCAAACGGACATGACCACTTTAGAAGTGTTTATATAAGGCAGCTATGGCGTTCCATAGGTACACCTTATGTGATCACATATATGACCTCAATAAACCAAACGACGTCAGGAAAATTAGGAAATAATATCGGTCTTAGCGATGTTTATCGGATATTTAACACCGGTTTGGAGTTTTGATGCGTATGAAATGACCACGAAGGCCGTAGGCCTGAGTGGTTAATTCTTTCGCATCAAAACGACAAAACCGGTGTTAAATAACCGATAAACACCGCTAATACAGATATTATTTCGATTATAACAAAAAAAGTCATGATAAAATAAGGAAGATCAATAATGGTTTTTTTTCATGCGGAAATAACTTCCAGTGCCGATTTTCGAAAAACGCTGTTCGATTCTTGCTAACCTAACCCTACTGTTGCGAAGATATAGACATTATAAATCAAAAGAAATAATAAGAAAAACGTTATTTTATCATTTTTTTTAAACAAATAAAAACGTACGTCGTATTGCCTTTACATAATTGTCCCATTTATCATTCTTGTATGCATGAAATAACGTCAGCTTGTTTACGAATGAGTTGTATATTTAGGATTACGTCATTACGCTGCTTACGAATTGACGCCGTTTTGTCAAACTATTTATAAACTGATATAGATCAAATATGTGGCGTTAGTGTATGTGAGATATTATTTCGGTATTGTATGAAAAGAAAACATTATAAGAATTGAAAATATGAATTAAAATGTTTTTATTGTTGCTTTTAAAGGCTTTGTAAACTATATAATCGAGGGTGAAAACATAACAGCCGCATATACAAGTAGTCCCTAACTATTGTTTATTGGCAGTTTAACACCTTTTTTCTTTCTTTCCTTCTTTGTCTATAGTGAGAAAATCACATGGAATGTTACAATACTTAATATACGCTTAGTGTATTTGAACATATTTTTATCAATTTACTTTTAAAGTTGCATATGAGAATGGAAATAGATGTTGTGATATTAATCAGGAAGGTCTTAGTGATAATGCTTGTGTATTTGAACTGGAACCGTGCATTATTCTACAATGCACTTAGAATGGATATATTTCAAGAATAGAATCTACCTTTTTCTTATGTCATTTTTGTGCTGGGTTTGTTGTCTTTTGTTTTTAATTTAGAACAAGCTCAATAGTTGCAAACAACAAAAAATATATAGAAAACCTACCAGTCTGACTTAAATGCCAATGTTCAAAAGATTTCACAATGAACCTTTCCAGTGTTTACAATTTTATGCAAATTGATTGACTGATTATCCAGTAACATTGCTTCACAACGATAATGTATAGTCATTGTTTGAGCTTGTTTAAAGAAACGAACACGTGTTCTTATGTGATACTGTTTGTGATCAGCTGGCCAATCAATATAAAGAAAAGGCGGGTTTATGATTTCCATTTTTATCCCTCAGTATTTTATAATGGTAATTTTCCATAGGATTCCACAGATTGTAATCGTATAAATGAGTTCATGATTTTTTTTTTATTGTATGTTTATGACTGATTGATATCATCTCATTAAAGAATAAATGGAAATAATTTCTCACGTTCACTTACAACTTACAAGTTAAGTTACTCTTGGTTCAATTTTGTTACAGTTAAATTAAGTTGAAATTTTCAGATAAATGCAGTATTTGATCAGGGTAATAAAATACATGTAAATAACACATGGGTTTGTGAGTAACAGTTAAAATTTCATCCCTCGTAAAAATACTGTTCCCCTCAGCTAACGTCTTGGGTTAACAGTATTTTCCTCGGGATGATATTTTTACTGTCACCCACAAACCCATGTGTTATTCACATAATGTTCATAATGAAAAAGGATCATCTCCTTGTTTCAGTATACTCCAGAACGGCAGCGGTAAATACAAGAAACCACACAGTCTAAAAGAACTCAACAGTTTAGTATGACAATCGTGTTAATCATTATCATGAAACATCATTGAAATATGGCGGTGTACATTGCACCTCCGATATATATGACACTTTCTTAACACTATTTGAACAGTGTTCGATGTTCCTGTCGGAGTTAAAGAATGTTTTAAGCGCCTGGCAAGACACCAATGTGCGGAACCTAAATAAATTGTATCTGCAGAACACTTCTGTATTTGTGAAGCCTGGGTATCAAAGACAACTGCAAATGGAGGAACCATGTCTTACAGTTTTCTTATACCGGAGCTTGGCAGTACGGATTATTGTTTATGTAATTTTCGTCTTCAAACGTCTGATGGTATGAAGTTTTCATCGACAAACGTATGGCGATAGTATTGATGAATAATTATCTATGTAGTTTTCATCTACAAACGTATGGCGATAGTATTGATGAATAATTATCTATGTAGTTTTCATCTACAAACGTATAGCGATAGTATTGATGAATAATTATCTATGTAGTTTTCATCTACAAACGTACGGCGATAGTATTGATGAATAATTATCTATGTAGTTTTCATCTACAAACGTATGGCGATAGTATTGATGAATAATTATCTATGTAGTTTTCATCTACAAACGTACGGCAATGGTATTGATGAATAATTATCTATGTAGTTTTCATTTACAAACGTATGGCGATGGTATTGATGAATAATTATCTATGTAGTTTTCATCTACAAACGTATGGCGATGGTATTGATGAATAACTATCTAGATGTAGTTTTCATCTACAAACGTATGGCGATGGTATTGATGAATAGTTATCTATGTAGTTTTCATCTACAAACGTATGGAAATGGTACTGCTGAATAATTATCTATGTAGTTTTCATCTACAAACGTATGGCAATGGTACTGATGAATAATTATCTATGTAGTTTTCATCTACAAACGTATGGCGATGGTATTGATGAATAGTTATCTATGTAGTGTTCTTCTTCTACTATTTCGATGGTAATGATGATTACATATCTATGTAGTTTTGTTCTACACATGTCGATAGTTAATCATATAGTTTTCATATACAAATGTCTGATAGTTATGATTAGTATTCATGTAGATAAAGCAACACAACGCTTGTTTATGAAGCATAATTATGTCATTTATTAACATAATTATTACATAAGTACGTGTAACCTTATACAGTTCGAAAAAATATCTAGATTCTTTTTATAAAACGCAATGCAGGCGAAAGAAATATTGTTTCATTTATTTCATCTGGTTCCCTTTAAGCCGCATTGAAACTGTACACGCGGTGGCTTTCCCACGGGTCTTTTTCTGAGTGGGGCAAACAGAAAACCGACACAAATGACAGTCGAAGTTTTATTTTCTGTCCTAACTGTGTTATGTTACATTATTTATTATGGAACAAAGTGTGTAACCCGATCATTCTAGCGAGAAAAAAACAGTATTCTCTCTAGGAGTCATTCTATTTTTATTGACTCAAAAAATAATTAGTTTTTCCTAGGAGACGTTATGTATATGTTAGTGTAAATCCGTGTATTTCTACAGAAATTAGAAACCTTGACGGGAGCGATAGCAAATAATGTTTCTAAATTCTGTAGAACATCTACGGATGAATACTAACATTTTTATCTTAATTTGGCTTTATCAATATTTATATTTTTCTCGCTAGAATTAACCAGCTCTACTTTTTGTAATGAAAAATTGATGAAATGTGTGATAATTTTTTTTAAGTTATGGCAGAAAATAGAAAATAAAAACTTTTACTTTCAACTTTCTTTTGTACTGTTTTTTCTGTCCCAAACAAATCACAAGTCAAGAAGTAGTATAGGTACCGTGGTAAAAGTCATATACAGACACATTTCTTGCGGATAGAACCTAGATGCAATTTGTGTCTTGTTTCAGTAAACAGAAGACATTTAGATAGAACCACAAGTCTTCCGTTAACTAGCAGAATATCTTTCTCGGTGAAGAAATTCAAATGTCCTGATGTGAGAAGATCATTTAATCATTGCCTCTATCATCCAAGTTTTTTCTTATGTATATATATATGTTTTATATGCGAATAACTATTTGTGTCTGTGCATACATTTTATTATATGCTTTATATGTTACTATGAAGCCACATTTTTTATATCTAAACATAATTGTTACAAGTTGTTCATGATTTTATAACGGTAGTATAAGAAGAACACTGTCATGGTCGCGTAAAATAAGGTCATCAGAAGGAGAAGGGTCACTGGCACCCATAGCAAAGCGTTGTCTGTACAAGGATGCTTGCCGGCTTGTTTCCCTTTGCCTGTAAAACACAATATGTTTTTACAAAATCGTAATAAAAAATAAAAATATGGAATAAAGAATACGTATATAATTAAATATAGAAGCTTTCTGAAAAATTGATTTACATCTATATGCACCGTTGTCTTCTAATATATACATGTATTGCGTAATTACTGGAAAATCAGCGCTAATAAATTAATATAAGGACGAAACCTATAACTTGCTAAATATTACAAAACTGGAAATTTGTTAAACTGAATGCAAGTTTTTTTAATGGACTTATCAGGTTTTTACAGGGAGAAGATATACCACTCAGACGAAACAAAGCAAACATCATAACATTATCATTTATAAAGAATCATATAGTTAAAGATTAGCGGCATATTTTTTTCTCGCGGATACGTGAAACATTATAAGACGCACCTATGACGTCACTGTTGTCTGGGCCAATCACGTGCACTTCAGTGTCGTTCCCGTTAACTTGAAGCATAAGGTCAAGGAACTTGTCTTCTGCACTAGCTGACCTTTTACGCCTTGTAGCACAGGACTGTTTAATGAAAGTTTAAAAGAAGATTAAAAGAAATGAAGTGAATTGTCGTTTTATTGTGTCCGATGACATGTATATAAAATACAGAAAATAAAATTTCCTTTTAAAAGGAAAGGCTTGCTCAGTTGCGCCATCATCCCTTCTCTTTAAAATTGTTTTTTTTTTGTTTCAATTTATTATCACAATTTTTTTGAATTACGGTATTTGTATATCATAAAGGGTTCATTTAGTTGTTTTTTTTCTGGAAAAAAACATTCACTTTTAAAGGGATAGGTAGGGTAAGCCCAAGACTGGACGAGCACCTATGCCCATTTGTTTGAGCACCAGTGTTATGCGTGCAAATTTGGACCAAATAGGGACCAGAAGTCCAATGGTTATAACTGAACGGGAACATGCTGACGATAACAGTAGCAACCTTTTTTGTAAATACGAATATTTTTTTGTCAAAAACGATTCGAAATCTATTCTCTATTGTATAAAACTAATACATGTAATAAAGAAAATAATCAATCGTAAAAATACTAACATTGGCTCTCACGTCGAGATCAATTTATCATACTGAAGGGAAACAAATGTGCACATTTTATTTCCACTTTTTTCGCAGAGAGAGTCATTCGTTTTGGCAGTAGCTAATTTCATTTATATAGCAGCTTTAGAGACAAGTAAATGCACTAATTAAAAAGACTTTGTTACGTGGTACCAATTAATAAGCATGTATCAACTATGTTACACCTACAATATCTATGATCGACAACACAGGAGATCAGCACGTGGTAAGGTTAATGATATGCATGTGCTATTTTTAGATTACCTTAAACCCTGTCAGTAGATTTAAATATAACTTGATCATGCACTAATATTCTGTGTGATTCGGTTACGATCTTTTGGTAAGCAGGACCGCCCTTTGGAGACGGAATACTACTACAGTAACCATTCTCTATTGTATAAAACTAATAAAGACAAAAACCAATTATAAAAGAAATTAACTTTTGCGTCTTGAAAAAGAATTGAAACGGAATCAAGTAAAAATAGAAATCCTATTTATATAAACAAACTGGGATTACCGAAGTAACTAAAATAGCTTAGATTTCCGTAAAAATTTTCTTAAATTTTCCATTAATCCGAAGAGTGACGGAAAGGGCCGAAAAGTTGCGATTGGCACGATTACAGCTGGTTTCCCGTTCAATCATGCACTAACAAATGTAAGCAGGAAACCACCTAACCGGAACAACTTTTCCAAAACAAATGGTTTGCAGCCGTAGCTGCAAGCCAATAAATAAATAAAATAAAAACAAACGTGATAATTACATGCTTCTTTGATAGGAATCGATTACATTCTGAACACTTACAAATGTATTTGATACAAGGACTAGGCAATAAAATCGGAAGAGAAATAAAAGTTAACTGTCAATAAGGGTTTTTAACGAATTCAATGTGTACCCTGTCTTGCGAACCTATACAATTCAATGTGTACGCGTGTAAATTCCGATCACCGAACCTATCTAAGGAGCCTATGTATCTAAAACTTGAACCTTTCTTGCTTTAAACAGAAAGTATAATTTTTAATACACTGTGCGTAAACTCAGTAAAATATAAATATAGATCTAGTTATTAATTTTACATTTAAAGCGGCGAAGATGTTTTAACATTAGTCGGACATTAGGAAATATGTATATTTCAAAAAACAAAGCAATACTTACTTTTTCACACAGTGCTAAATTCCCCACGCAGAAATCATACTCTATCCTGAAGTAGACCTTATCTTTATTCAAATATTTGAATGCATTGAAAGGATCGGTGTCGATGACCCAGTAGTCACTGAACTCTGACGCAAGATTAGTGTTCCTTTTAAACGGCGAAATCGCACCCATAAGTTTTGTGTCTGGAGTGATAATGTTACAACTGGAAAATAGAAACAATTAAAAATAATTAATTTACGGAAAGTTTTTATTTGCCCTATTTTCTTTAATTAACAGAAAGTTGGTGATTTAACAATTTAAGACAGGATACATCAATATATCAAAATGTCAAATTACAATAATCTTTAACTTTAGATTCGAATATAAGCGAATATATCCGACTATTCCTGGCGTATGATACTATTCTCAATGTCGGTCGGATTTCAGTAATGTTTGAAGAGAGTTTTCTCCCATTGGTTGCATACGCCATTTGCAATCGTTGAAGAGAAATGTCTGCATCATTTTCGATTTGTTAAGATGATAAAAACTAGCATATAAGGATGAGTTTTAAATACTTAGCATTTCGAGTGTGATTTCTGCGGACAAGTTTAAAGTGTCAGCAGTGCGGTGCGATTTTTCTAAATAGTCACTTTATTGATATTCCTTTCTTTCTAATATTCACGGACCTTGGTACGAGATTGAGGTTGCGTACGTGTGTTTATGTTTCATAACCTTTGAATGGATATAACCCCCGACGGCGAAGGGCCCATTGCGATTCTTGGTGATTCCTCAAGAATCAGCCATTGGTGATGTGTGCAACATTGAATAGGCGCAACTAATCCGTTCATTAGCCAGACCGGATCCAATATACAGACATTTAGATAGGTAAGTCACTCACTTTAGCTTGAAAGGTTCTACACATTCTACCTTTCTTTTAAAACATTTAATTCATGATTGTTTTTCCCAGGTCCTTTTTGGTAGAAAAAGTGTTTAAGTTCAATTATAATCATAATACGTATTTAAATTTATTGCTAAATAATGCTAAGTTTAATAACAAATATGTGTCTCTACCTCATACATGTATTTCACAAAAAATATTCGACAAAATCAAACAATAAACTTCTTTGATAATTTTGGCAAACATGGAAAACAGCCTTTTATTTGAATAGGAATTTTGAATAAGAAAAATGGTCTATCAAATGTTTAAAATGGGCGGAGTATGATAACATCTTTATAAATATTTCATCAAGTTTGAGTAGAAACAATCGCTTTGCTTTTTTAAGGATTATTACCTGAATGTTATTTTATTTTATTTCTGAACAATGATCAATACGAACACATATATCATAAGGATGATATTATAGATTATCTTCGGTTTCTTTTGTTCTTTAAAGACGACAACCTATGCTCTTGAAAGCTTTAGTTCAGAAAGGGTGCATAACTCTTTGACTGTACGATATATATTGTGTTAAAATATTGCATATGTGTGTACTTTAAGGCATATAACTGACCTACGTTTACAATTTTGCAGTCCCTGATAGGTTAATGTCACTGAATTTTAACCTTTTTGTGTCTGAAGTCATAATATTTGAATCGAGAAATTTACCTTGAAGAAAACACAACAATAAAGTGTAGGCGCTCACGTTGTTAACCGCCTATTATGTAGAAAACATGGTTAATTATACGCACTTCGTTGTATAAACGGTATCATTTACGAACTGTTTATGCCAACTAGAATTTGACAAAAATAATTCCATTATTATAAGATATTTTTTGTATACATATATGTATATTTTAAAATTAAAGATTTCGATAAAGCAGAAAAAGCAAGAAAAAGTTAATAAGAAGGCTATGTAGGGCGGAGCACCGTAGTCGAAGTATTTTGGTACAATGTATATTGAATAAATGGCGGCGTCACCGAGTGGTTAACGCGTTGGACTAGTAATCAAAGAATTGCTGACCGCTTGGGTTCAAACCCTGTCAGGAGCAAGCCGTTGTTTCCTTTAGCAAGAATCTTTACATTCATTGCTTAGTACTGGTTGGTTCCAGGAACGGATTCGAGAGTGTTTCAATAAGCTCGAAGCTTTCAACACAATAGAACTAAAAAAAATTGTATAAATTAAACTAATAAGAAGACCGATTTCATAGATCTCACAAGTGCACCGAGCAAATATATTCTTAATGTTTGTATCAACTAATTGTAAAGTTTTCTAACATGATAACATGATAACGTGCTAAACAGGTGTTTTATAGTGAATAACCTTTTCTTACCGGTCATTACCCTATCTTCATTATAAATTTATACAAAAAAAAAATCCCTTTATTTCGTTTAAATTAAATTCAATCCATTTTTGTACAGTAACCGTATATATACATTTTATAAAACGTGTCGATTCTGCAGTAATATAAACGACAATAATTGTCCAATTAAAAAAGACGTTACAAACGTGCAATATTGAAATCATCAAAAAATATTTTTAAAAATGTTGTAAGTAGTTCGTGAAAATGATAACATTTCAAAGAAAACACAAACAAAAAATGGAAATTTCTTAAAATGACAGGCGTATATTTCAGTAAAAATCAGAGGCAACGAAAGACGTATTTGACTCACTCAGTCAGAGTATTCAAAGGTTAGGTACCTATTTGTAATTTAGTTTTACCATTCTAAAATATTTAGTTGTCTCTTACCCAGAAGAATGAACTGTAGTGGAGCACGTGAAACCAGCATTGTCGGCGATTAAAAGAGTTTTCACATAGATACCACGGGATCCAGCTGAAATTTACAATAACACAAACTTCGTTATATCTATAACTGCTATGTGTGTAATGCTCAAATCATGCCTTACGAAAACTTTTAACTGTATTTCTATAAGTCTTTTTTTCATTTTTGTGTTCTTTTATAGAATTCAAAAAGTTACTCATTGATCATTTACCTGTACGATATTTTCAATGTTGCTATTTGGCAATAAGTAGAATAATTCATGGTGAATTAAGCATTTTGTGATTCAAAATATTTTGTTTACATTTTGTTACTTTTACGACAAAATGTTTCACATTTATTGCTACTTTCTTCAGATAAAAAGCATTAATATTTTCTAAACCATTATGTAAACATTATAATATTCATGTTTGCCATTTCTAAAGCAATAAAATAATATTTTCTTCTGAGGCATAATGTACCCTAAATCTAAGTGAACCTTTGACAAAACGAGTCCATACAAAGGTGGTTTGCTACAGACATTTATTAAAAGTAAAATAAATGTAGTTCCATTTAGAAACGGAAAAATTATGTTCATTTTTTTCTACTACCAAAACGGAGAAACTTTTTGCTATATTTAACAAACTGGAAACATATGTTGTTCCATTAAAAAAAACGGAAAATTTATGTTGTTCCATTAAACAAACGCACACACTTATGTTGTTCCATAAGCAAACGAACAAACTTATGTTGTTCCATTAAACAAACGGAAAGCTAATAGATGTAGTTCAAATCAACAATCAAGCAACGGAAAACTTTCAAATTTTAAATTCATTTATCAAACGGACAATTTATATCGTCTCATTTAAAGGCACTTTATGCCTGCCTCAGAAACGGTTAAATAATTTACTTCTTTAGAAAGGGCAACGACGAGTATTATGCCATTTATATAATTATAAGGAGCATTTTAGATGCTTCTTTTCATAGGAAATTAGCCCTATGAAATTATTTATGATTAAAGAAGCAAAATGTAAACAGAGTAGTATTTTGACTTCCATACAAAATACTCGATCACTATAACTGTACTAATTGCCAAAAAGCAACAGAAGGAATTGTTTGTTTAGGTAATTGGCAAATGAGTATCTTTTATAGAACTATTAAACAACACCAAAAATTGAAAAGGACAAACTTTGAGAAGTAAAAATAAAAGCATTTCTGAAGTATAATGAGCCTTTAATAAACTGAATAAACCTATGATATGTCATTTACCAACAGGAAGTTGCTGTCCCATTTGACAACCGGGAAACATGTTTAAATGATCATGGTTTCAACTAATCATCCGAATGTTGGCTTCCATATATATGTTCAAAATCAGCTAAATGTCTATTATCTAAGAAATCCATACACTATCTTTAATGATTTTTAAATACTTTTGTACGTTATTTCTTGAGGAAAATGATATACTGTTCTAGCAATTTTGTGTTGCAAAATAGTAGAAGCATTTCATGTAGATTTGGTTTCTTGTGTAACTGGTAGCATTTCATGTCAATGTGGTTTGTTGTGTCACTGTTGTAGTGTACGACGACTTCAATTCGTTTTGCTCTGTATCTGTGGTAGGATTTCATGTTAATTTATATTTTTTTAAACAGGAGTTTTATTTTGTGTTAATTTGATCTATTTTGTAACAGCGATAGCATAACATGTAAAATTGCTTTGTTGTGTAAAATTGGCAGCATATCTCATTGATTTTGTTTAGTTAATCTTTTTGCAATGGTAGCAAATAGTATGACCTTTGTTTGTCGTTAAACAGTGGTAATATATCAGAGTTTGGTTTGTTGTGTTATGGTGGTACTATATTGTATGTGTTTGGTTGGTAATGGTTTTTGATTGTCAGGTCTTTCCCTTTTGTCTGATTTATCGTGTTGTATTCTCCCCTCTAGAAAATCACATTTTGTTTTGAAAATTAATAAACATAATCACTGCGTTATGTAACAATGGTGCATATCAAGAAGATAAAAATTTGGATCGTCTTGTAGTGGACCATGCATAATGTCACATGAATTTGGTTTGTTGTGTACCATTGGTAAATCTTAGTATATTATGCATCGAGATACAAAAGTTAATTGGATGTTGTGTGTGGTAAGGAGCAGATGTTTCCTGCCACATAAACAGTTTTTTTTAATTGTTCATTATGAATAATTATCAAAATATATACTAAATATCAAAGTCTACTTAAGGAGCAGAAAATAGCAAGATTTATGATTGATACTTTCATTATTTTGATATTAAAATATTTGTTTTCACGCAAACAAGATTTTTATGGCATGTAAACAACCAGATTTACCATGATCAAGTTATTATTATTCCTAGCATCTGATATCAGTTTCGGCATTATGTAAAATTTAAGAATGACCGATCGTCAAGATATATTACCCAAAATGCGTTGAAATCAGAGTAGCACCAGACAAAAATATAAGAAACACGCACACCCGCACGCACGCACACAAACAAATGATAACCAATGAATAAGAAATGGGAAGATACTATCAATAAAACAAAACTAATTATATATTCCTTAGGAAAAAAAATTGCTTACCTGTGAGAGGATTTAAAGCCACATCTTCATCGATTCTGCTATCGCCATCATCATCTGCAAGCAAATCAATTTCAATTAAAACTCGGAAATATAATGGCTTCTATAAGCTTCTGCTTTCGGCCAAAAACTATAATTATTGGTATGTTGTTATTTACACATGTACAAATATTCTAAATTAAATATGTTTAAACCAAAACTCGGAAATGAGCAAAGTCTTAACCCACAAGCTGAGCTTCTTGTCAAATAACAATAGCTTGTTTTATTTGAGAAAAATGAAATAAAATAAAACAAAATTCATATACAAAATTTTAGCACCCGGCAATAGATTTTATCCGGAATTCGGCAAATTTGGGTCTTTTCCGAGCTAATTCATAGGTACAAACAAACTTTTGCCGTTATGGCTTCATAGCGCACATCTGTCACAATAGATTAGTCAATGTTCGAAGCTGTAACTGTAAAAGTGTGTTTGTACCTACGGAAAAAAAACCCCCAATTTTCAATAGACTTAGTCCGGATTAAAGAATACTTTGGGTTTACCTCAGCTGCTCCTATATTAAAACTAGAACTGCCACTATCATGGCGTGAATACCTCCGCATACCACTTTATCAGAATCAACAGTGGCCATTTAGAGCTCAAGGACAACCTCCCTGCCAAATCTGAGGTTACTAAGCCAGTGCATCGCTAAGTTATGTATTCTACATGCTTTAAATGTGAAAATGTCAAAATCAATACAATGCGGACAGGACATTCTTTAGCAATTAAGAAGAAAAGCTTTTTTTGTCAAGGTCCCTGTGACCTTGACTTTTGACCCAGTGACCTCAAAATCAATAGGGGTCACCTTATAGTCATGATCAACATCCATGCCAAATATGAAGACTGTGGGTCAAAGGGTCTTAAGTTAATGGGTGGACAAACTTTTTGAAGTCAAAATCCCTATGACTTTGACCTTTGATCCAGTGACCTCAAAATCAAAAGGGGTCATCTACTAATCACGATCAACATCCATGCCAAATATGAAGACTGTGGGTCAAAGGAATCTAAAGTTATTGGGCAGACAAACTTTTTGAAGTCAAAGTCCCTGTGACCTTGACCTTTGACCTGGTGACCTCAAAATCAATAGGGGTCATCTACTAATCATGACTAACCTCCATGCCAAATATGAAGACTGTGGGTCAAAGGAATCTTAAGTTATAGGGCGGACAAGCTTTTTGAAGTCAAGGCCCCTGTGACCTTGACCTTTGACCTGATGACCTTAAAGTCAATAGGGGTCATCTACTAATCATGACTAACCTCCATGCCAAATATGAAGACTGTGGGTCAAAGGAATCTTAAGTTATTGAGCGGACAAGCTTTTTGAAATCAAGGCCCCTGTGACCTTGACCTGGTGACCTCAAAGTCAATAGGGGTCATCTACTTATCATGACTAGCCTCCATGCAAAATATGAAGACTGTGGGTCAAAGGAATCTTGAGTTATTTGGCAGACAAGCTTTTTGAAGTCAAGGCTCCTGTGACCTTGACCTTTGACCTGGTGACCTCAAAGTCAATAGGGGTCATCTACAAATCATGACTTGCCTCCATGCCAAATATGAAGACTGTGGGTCAAAGGAATCTTAAGTTATTGGGCGGACAAGCTTTTTGAAGTCAAGGCCCCTGTGACCTTGACCTTTGACCTAGTGACCTCAAAATCAATAGGGGTCATCTACTTATCATGACTTACCTCCATGCCAAATATGACGACTGTAGGTCAAAGGAATCTTACGTTATTGGGCGGACAAGCTTTTTGAAGTCAAGGCCCCTGTGACCTTGACCTTTGACCTAGTGACCTCAAAATCAATAGGGGTCATCTACTAATCATGACTAACCTCCATGCCAAATATGAAGACTAAGGGTCAAAGGAATCTTAAGTTATTGGGCGGACAAGAAAAAACCGACGGACGGCCGGCCGGACAAACAAGCTGATTCCAGTAAACTTTGTTGTGCGGGGGTATAAAAACAACTTTTTTACAGTAACAGCACTGAAAAATAAGCGCCACAGGTTGACAAATCTATTGTGACAGGTAGTGTGCCAGGAAGCTTTAACAGTTTGTTTGCACCGGAGGGATTAGCATGGAAAACCCCACATTGGCCGAGTAACGGATACAATATATTTCAGAGTTGACCTATTTTCTCAGCATTCAACTGAGAAATAATTGTCATATAATTACCGACATTATTCAGCATCTCTTCGTCGACTTTACCGTCACAGTCGTTATCTAGGTTATCTCCAGGAACCGAAGTTGATGGAACACACTGTAAAATTTAAAGATTCGATAGTCATATACACTGTTATATTTAAAGATTCCATAGACAGTCAAGGTATCATTATGTGACCACTTCTTACATGATGTAAAACCTACTTTGTCAGACAAGGTATCAAAATATAACTACTACTTTCATGGTGTAAAACCTACACATCTATAGTTATATTTAAGTATATTAGGTCTTCAAGTATACACAATTTTTGCCTTACGAATAGAGGTATAATTCTGTAACTGACCAAGATGAAATGATGTTTTTGTGTGTTTATTTTGTTGAGATTTTTGCTATTTTTTTCTTCTTTTTTACACATAATTGGTCTCGCCTCTGAGGTTTAGCCACCCTCCTGGCTTTCCTAGATAATTAACCATTAGTTAATTGTCAATTTCTCTGCAAGTGGCCGAGTGCTAATACCAGGTGATTTTCGAACCAGCGGTGAGGGGAAAATAATAATTGGGAAATTTCGCTTCGCCCGAAAATCTAGTGAGAAACCTATGTATTGCAAAATTGATGATCTCGGTTGACCTAAGTTGGTACATAAGAGGAAGTAGAGAGTTTCTTTATAAACATCAATGTTCCTTTTCACTATTGACTGACATTTATATGATTTGTTGAGTTACATTCTTAGATATACATTGAAGAATTTCAATGGAGAACAAACAAAGATAAAATGATTTGATCTAAATAAATATAATTTAAGTTTTTTGAAGGCGTTACTATAGGTAAACGTTGTTGAATACAGTTTATGGAAATTACCGGTAGACAGTATTTAGACTTCGCATGTGAAACAGAGTGACAATTAAAAAAAGTGTTGGAGCACCTAAATTAATACTATATTCAGAAATTTAACGGAAAGGCTCTTAAATGATTAAGTTTTAAAATCTCGTCTTTTCAGATGCTCACTTTAGGACATCATATTCATCTCTTTAAGCCATTTTTCTTTTCGAAAATGAATAGAAGTTGAAAGAATCGGCGGAAAAAGCGAAATTTGTCTACTTTGTGATAATTATTCCAGCAAACGTTCAGGTATATCTTCTAAACTATAGTAAGATAAATCCTTTAAGAATCGGTAGGTCAAAGACTTTATGAGTTTTAAACTACTTACCGGATTAGTGGTCGGATACCGGACTCCGAAAGGTAAAAACGCAGTTAAAGAATTGTCAGTGCCTCTTTTCAACATGAATAACATAAAAGGTTTTGACCTGTCTCCAGATTCAAAGTGGACGTTTAACTTGCCGTCAAACGTATTTTTGTCAAAGTTCAATTCTTTTACTTCGTAATACGCCGGCCGCCCAGGTGCTGCAGCTGTCAGAAACAATAAAAATGCTTAAGTTCTGAATGAATTGTCATGCAAAGTAGAAATAATATCAGCACGGTCGTTTTAAATATCATTCGCCTCTATAATATAAAACGTTCCAAAATCCAGTATCAAACAAAAGTAATTATTCTACTGTGTTTGTTAACATATTTTTCAGGAACTTTTATACCAGCAGCCCTGGGCAATACCTTGTGATCATTCGATCACTCCGTTTTACTTCTATCATCATTTTAATTGTGCAAACCGGCCCAAACAATAAATCGGACAAAAATAGCAATTCAATTCATAGCATATTTTTTGTTTTTGTTTATTTATTTATTTATTTTTTTTTTAGATTTTCCTCCAATTTGCATTGCTTTTTCTGTCTTATTGTGTATAATTTCATCACGTATAGATTTCATTCTATGTTTTGTGGCAATTTTTTCCTCATCATTTCAATAAATTTGACAATATTTATATATTAATGTAAGATAATATAAATTATAAAATTATAATAAATAAGAAAGTAAGCATAAGCAAATATATCCTATTATGTCAGGCTCATGTTGCAGTGGTTGCCCCGGACCAGATAAAACAAAAAACGCTTGTTATATTTATATGCTAAAAACTTTAAAAAATATATCAAAATTTCATTTATGTCGCAAACACAATTGAAACAAAAATTAGTGTTGAACCAGATAAAATAATATCACATACACATGAAGATATAATCTTGAGCAGGATGGACAAATGAAAGTGTTATATTTGCCCTACTTCTTTAAGTTAGTCTTGTTAAAGATCGTTCAGCACGACATTATTGATATGCTTGTGGTTATTTAGTTCTTTCTATTCGGCTATTTTCTTGTTGGATGGTTCCAGTATTCCTCACTTAAAAACTGTTGAATCACCCTTAGGATATATAACCTGCTTTTAAATTTGTCTTTTGACGTCTTATTTGTGATCATCCGGCTTCATAGCCTCTGATCCCCTTTCAAAATTCCATTTCATTTAGTCCGCTCATTGTTTTCTTGTTTGGAGCACACGTATTTTTTTACATGGAGACCTTACGCCGCTTTTCATGGAATGGCACGCCCTATCACATTAAAGCTTCCATAATAACCGCCATGTAAACACATCTGCGTAACTATGTTTTTAAATCAAGAATTGTACCAGTTCATGATGAATGTTGGATTCTGGTTAAGCTGGTGCTAGCGGCGTGGACGGTAGTTTTTACTTGAGAGTACCGTCCATGAACAGGCTCAATTAAACCGAGCCTGCAACATTTTCAATTTTGCCGTGTTGGGCTTTCTTTAGGGATTCTTATTTTCTCTATTTGCTGTACATGTAAAACACTAAAACAAACAGCAGTTCACATTATATATATCTTACCTCTCCAGGTAAGAATAAAGATTAAAAGGTTTGTAGAGATTAAAATATATCCCGTGATCATAATTAAGACAGAACAAAAAAAAAGAAATATGATTTTTGAATGTCAATGTAATGAAAATTATAAAAACATTTTTACTTGTAACATGAAATAGTCGCCAGTGCAACAACTGAAATAACTCAGCCAGATTTTGTTAATAAAGTAATATTTGACATTGATATAAAGATATACTTGGCTTATCCTTGAGTTAAATATTTAATCACAGAAATTTATTGAAATCCTGTTATTTTCTTAGAAATGTTTTTATAGTTGTCAGTAACTTTTAAGCTGAGTTAAGAGATTTTAAAGATTGAATGTGAGCCACTGTACTCCTACCTGGTCTTAACCAATTCTGACCTTCAGAAAATATATCTTTTTCAAAACACCATGCGTTTAGTCTTTTATTTTATTAATGAATAATATATCTTATATATAACTGGTGTTACTGCTTTACCCTGATCAGACAAAGGATCTTTTGGGCCACTAGTAGTTGACTTAGGTATTGGTTTAATAAAGGCTTTGTTCCATATCTGTGGCAAAAGATCCTGATCTAAAAACATTTGTTAAATAATTTATGCAAAAAAGAGATTGCATATTCGTATTCAATACTTCACCAGGCAGCTCAACAACACCAACAGCTCTGTTTCGTTTAATGACAAGTATAGCTAATTTTACTTATTGTACTGAATTGTACAAATTACAAAATTCATTTTTCCATTAATCAAAAACGACATCTTTTTCTTGTGATAGTACACCATTATTATTAAAAACTTCCATAGGGATATCACTTATTCTATGATCTCTTATCCCAATTCTACCAATAGACTTCCAAAATCAGGAAAGTTATCTTTAGCAAGTGTTAAAAAATTATTTTGTACTGTTGACCAGTGAGACCTTTTACAACTCTGAACTTTACGTTCAAAATGTCTACGTTTGCTAACAAATTCATGTTTCAATCTAATTATATGACCATTATTACATTCGCGTCAATTTTTTTCAGCACCACACAAGTCATTACATAACTCTTGTAAATCATCATCCCACCAAGGCTTTCGCAATCTTCTGCGCTTATTACTAAATCCATATTTATAGAACATTTGCATGAAAGCTTATCCTGCATTTTAGTTTTAACCAATGAAAGAAAATTATTTGTTGAGTTAATAATTTTATTAGAAACTGTTTTATTTACGAGAGTTTGGTAAGGCCCATCTAGGCCATATTTGTATTTAGTTTATTATATTTGCAAGAGGAGTTTCTTTATCGAAAGTTATGTTGAAAAATCTAACGTATCATGAACAGTTTGTAAATTGAAACTCTGGTTCTTGTACCCGCAATGGCAGATAGATCCTTTTTGCAACAGAAAAAAATGAAAGTTACAGTCTAATCCGTTTCCTTCGGGTCAGTTAACCAAAAAGAACTTCTTTTGCGAGTTCACTATCTGCAATATTCGAACATTTAGTTTTTAATGAAGATTTTAAAGTCTGCCAAAATTGACACACGTACTGACATTCATTGAACAGGTGTGAAAGTATTTGGTTATTAACTGTACAAAATGTGCACGTAATGTCATGTTTATTCTAATCTAAGTTAATATGATTGTTCTTGATAGAATCAATTTCACACGATTCCTGTAGTAATAGTTCATATTTTCATTTATCTTGAAATTTGGGAATTTTTTAAAAGTGATCGAAGAAAATAAATGTCGTTATTAGGCAAGGAAATTTAACACATTATGATGATGCAGACTAACTAAGAACTCAAAAGTTCATTCATGTCTTTCACAATGGCATAATTGAATGAACATGGCCCTTCTGAATGTTGCTTATATATTTCTGATCAAATTCTAACCGGTAGGGAGACTTTAGTATTGCTTGAAATACTTGTTATACTGATAGTTGCATTGGTATCCCGTCCATGCCTCATCTTTTTGCCATCTTCTCTATTTATCCGGTGACCTGCTTTGCTCTCTGATGGTGGTCCCGTTGTATTGGATTTAGTTTTGTCTCTCTTCATTGAAAGCGCATTTACTTGTTGATATGTTCTTATATTCAGAATAAATTGTTTTTTGATGACAGCCGAACAGACAGCCATCAAAATCTGGACAAAGGGGAGTTAACTCAGAAGCTTTGAAAACCACAAAAAAAGATATGAAAATTGCAGACTCAGTTTGAATCTTTCCATGAAAGATAATGTAAATGTGCAACGTAATAGTATTTAACGTCCCTTGGCACCAACTTAAGCGGCATTCAAAATCAAACACAAAATGTGATTGACATAATGATCCGGAAGGAGCAGAAGAATACAACAACACTTAACTGAAGTACCTTGTAACTTTATACAGCTGCCACACGGCATGTGACACCTGTTGTAAAGTAAAAAATCTGAGAAGGGGAGATAACCCTGAAGCAATGAAAACATCAAAAATTTCAGACTCACCGTATGACATGTAAACTAAAGATAAAGGCCTAAGGCACGAACATTGCTTCAAATCGGACAGCAAATTGATTTTAACCTAACCACATTTTCACTAAGTTCTATAAAAAGAAAGTTTCATTAGTATATGAATAATACATATTAGAATTGACATATACATGTATATACATGTAACAGCCTTCCGTCAAACAAGCTTAATATTCTCAAAACCGACACAAAATTGCAATAAAGAAAAGAACGGTAAGGAAGCGATACGATAGACTTGCAACTTTGCAACAATGTATGCATATGAGATAAAATACAAAAAAACTTACTTGAAAGCAGCTTTGGAACATCAGTTGCATCACCAAATGACTGCATTAATGACCGACCATTCATGGTTATACTACTGTATTCACCCTTTTGAGTAACTGAAACATAAAAAACACATTACAATTTATAATTGATTCCATTCTACATTTTTACATCTTTTCCTTTTGGGATGTAGCAAAACAAAAGTGTTCAAACATGACATTGTAGCATACCCATTTCAGATAACACAAGGTAGAATAACTTTAAAAAAATAAGCAATCACAGTCATTGAAGAGTTACTTCCCTTACCGGATGTAACGTAAATTGGGGATGGAACAATGCAGGCCGCATAGAATGTTAGCTTATTGAAAAGTTAAATGCGTAAATACTGATCGTTCAATTATGATTATAACATGTAAAAATTTCCGCATGCATACATAAATTCAATATCAAGACAATTGAAAAAAATACAAAAACAAAGATTGAGATTAATTCTCGCTACGGAGTGTAAATTTCAGCGAAATTTCAAAGTGAAGGTATTTATTAGATCTAGATTTTCTCAAATGACAGGATGAAAAGCTAGTAACTTAATCAAATTTTAACATTTTATAAACACCCATACACACTGAAATTGCCTATTATAAATTTAAATGGCCATTTTCTAGTTTTCTGTGTTATTTTCTGTCATTTAGAAAATTCCGGCGTACTTGTCAAACATGAAAATAAGATTGGCAATGTATTTTAATGATTGTTTTTCAAGCTTTAATAGAACAATAACAGAATACATTCTGTCAATACTAACTGATTCTTTTTCATTATGCCGTATAAAAATATTTCAAAGAACCAGAGAAGGATATAATTTTATAAATATTGCGGAAAGAACGAAAACCATGTGGCATTGACTTTAATAATTTTAGATTCGCATCAGACGATAATAAGATAATTTTGATATTAAAAATCTATTCTAATGGTTATAAAAAATTAAGACCTTTTCCCAGTAACTTATTTCATAGATAAATAGATGTCTATATATAAGCGCCACTGGGCCGTAACATATTAATTTACAGGGTATATATGTTGTATATACAAGCGTCACTTGGCTGTGATATCATTAATCACCAGGGTGCAGTTTTTAGAGTTATAACATTACATCAGATTACGGCACTTTTGTTAGTGGTCAAAATATTTATGGTCCGAATTTTGTTATGGATCATCATAGGGACCTAATTGATCATGCCTTACTGATTTGACACTCGGTCAAGAGTCCTACCAACTGGCACATCAAAAATACGCAAAATTATAATTCAGTTAATAAAGAATTTCTGTGAACGTGTTTCAAAACTTGTTTTTTGTGATTTTTTTTAAATATTTGATAAGCAAAGTATGAATTAAAAAGTATCAAGTTGAAACTATTACTTTACCCGCTTAAATATATGTGTGATGTACGATTTTTGAGAGTTCATTTTTTTGCCGACACAAATAGTATACAGTCATGTACATTCAAAAGAATAAATAAACCAGTATCTTGCAATTAATTATTACGCAGCCGTTTTTCGAAACTACAGAATCCTTACATTTTTGAAACTCAAAAAATCTTTTGGGTATTGTATATTAGCAGATACACTATCTATATCTCTGGTTTTAGCAAGTTAGTACGATTTAACTGCTTGGTAAAATGTTCATTATTAAGAATCTAACGAACCTTATTATAGTAAACATTTTTATTCATTTCACCATCCTTTTTACGTAATATCTTATTCAATTACACAAAATTTTAGCAATTTCAATCAGCCAATCTTACAAAAGAAAGAATTAATATCTTTTTATCCCTCAATTATTATACTTAATCGTATCGGCATTGTCCACCGTAACCACTAATGACGTCATCCAAGGGCGACAACTTGAATACGGTATTAAATGAAAGGGTCTATATCATTTAATATATAGAATGGGTATTGGTGTAGAAGCGGTCAAATGTAGTGACAGAACTTTGATTTTTCAAGTTTTAAAGCGATGAGATATGGACAATATACATATCTAATGATTATTCAGGATACATTGAGGTTGGATAAGGATATATTGCAGGAACTGTCAAGGTAAAACGACGGTCGGATATCACGGATATACTATACTTACTAGTATACAAGATAAACAAGAACTGTCGGACGACAGCGACGCTCGACTATTCGGAAAAGTTGTCACAAGGGTGTTTCACTGAGTATGATTATGCTTACCTATATGAATACATAAATAAGTCCGAAAAGGTACGAAAGCTTGTAACTTAGATGTTGTATCGAGTAAACTACTGCTTGATCATTATGAATGCATAAAAATTGTCACAAAAAAGGCACAAATCCTTCAGTAACTATGGAGAAACCAGCATACAAGCAAAACTAAACCAAGAATGTTTAGGTCGAAAAGGTGGCATAAATATGCAAAAAAAGCAAATCATAGTTATGGGACTTGTGCTAATCATGTAAGATAATCACAGAGAACAAGATAATCACAGAGAATAAGTGTGTGAAGTTTCAATCCATTCACTTCAGTAGTTTTGGAGATACCAGCTTACACGTATAGACTTAACCAAGAATTTCTAAGTCGAAAAAGGGGCATAATTATGCAAACAAGCAAATCAGAGTTATGGGACTCGTGCCAATCATGTAAGATAATCAAAGATAATATGTGTGTGAAGTTTCAATCCATTCCCTTCTGTAGCTATGGAGACGCAAAAACTTATCCAAAAATTTCTTAGTCGAAAAAGGGGCATAAATATGTAAAAAAGCAAATCAGGATTATGGGACTTGTGCCAATCATCATAGATAATCACAGAAAACAAGTTTGTGAAGTTTCAATTCATTCCCTTCAGTAGTTATGGAGATACTAGCTTACACGCAAAAAACTTAACCAAGAAAAGTCGAAAAAGGGGCATTATTATGCAAAAAAGGAAATGCAGTACGAATGCTCTTAAGATACAAGATAATATTTGTGAAGTTTCAATCTTCTTCTGTGCTATGAGACGCAAAAACTATCCAAATTCTTAGTCGAAAGGGCTAATTGTAAAAGCAAATCCCGGGAAAACGCCACCCTTATGAAAACCGCGAAATATTTTTTCAGCGAGATTATTAGGAATATAGTACACGAATTGTGATATTTGTTTGAGATATTTTTAAATTCAGTTATGTAAATCAAAATGATTTTATTATTCCAACTGCACAGTTTATTTTTAGCTATTCAACTTCACTCCTACTAAACGGTGGCTGGTACACATTTTGGTGATCCGTTTCAGAGCCTTCGACCACAACAAATCTAAATTAAGTACTTATTAAGGCTTATTGTAAAAGTTGAAATAACAATTCAACTAAATATTTTATTGAGCATATGAACTTATTTTTAATACTCTTTACCAACATGTTTAACATGTAATTATATAAGGCGGTGAAATTTATTACAATGAGAAAAGCATGATTATGTTATTATGTTATTATCTTATAAATAACGAACAATATATCGATAACAGCATCATCACTGAAGTCTACTTAGAACGTACAAATGTTTAAAAGAATATTCATCATATCAAAACATATGATTCAAAGTTACAAAAAAAAGTTAAAATATATAAACACGTGTACACGATATAGACAAAGTTAAAACATTCTAGTGTTCCGTGGTATACTTGCTATTCACACCACATACCTACTTTTAACAATCGAATGAACATTCAATGGATTGGTGTCTGTCATCGATTTGTTTTTTTGCAGAGAGTGACCTGTGATTGGGCAAAGATGGTTACGTTTAGGTAGATTTCGCAAAGAAGGAACTGATGTGGATATACCGTGATATATGATCAATTTTAGTTTCAAAGAGCAACGAAAATAAAATTTTAATCATGATCCGGATTTTCTTCACGGTAAATACTTGGCCAGGAGATGTCGTGATGTTCGAGAGAGGGGAGTATCTCTTCTTTTTTGATGGTGATACGAAACAGATCACGGTAATTTTTGTAGAAACAAATAATTATAATGCGTCACCTTAGTGCAATATCTGATTAACTGCTATCAAATTTAGAAGGACTTATCCCGTTATTGCACTAAGACGACGATATAGCAGATCTACGCCTTATGTTCTAGTCTGCGTAGAATTAGAGTAAAGTTAGTACGATACTCTCTATGTCTGACCATAATCTGGCTTGATCGCGGGACTTTTTTCGATTTCATTTATTTTTGTTGTGGTGTGTGGAGACCACACTAATACCTAAAAAGATTGATATTTACCTATGTTAGCGATATAATTTACGCCATCTTCTAATGGTAAAAAGTACGATGTTGCCCATTGTTCAACAGATGGATATTGTAGAAGGGCTGGAGTACCAGAACTACCGTCTGAAATGAAATTGACAAAAACAAAATAATCCAGCTATAAATAAAAATAATTATAGGGACTTCACATACGGTTTTTTGACATAACGGGACTAGAAATATTTCTATTTACTATTACAAACTTTCTACTATCACTACCAAATTTCTACTACTACTGCTACTGCTACTACTACCAAATGTCTTCATTTACTACCCACTTACCACAACCACTACCACTACTACCACCTCTACCACCACTACTACTACCACTACTACTACTACCACCACCACTACTACTGCTACTACTAGTACTACCACTAGTACTACCACTAACACCACGATTACCACCACCACCACAACTACTTCTGCTACCACTACCACTACTACTACTATTACTGCTACTAATACTACCACTACTACTACTACCACTACTACTACTAGTGCTACTACTAGTGCTACCACTACCACCACCACCAATACTACTACTTCTACTACCACTACTACTACTACTATTACTATTACTTCCACTACTACTATTACAACTGCTACCGCTACTGCTTCCACTACCACTACTACTACCACTGCTTCTACCACTGGTACAACCACTGCTACTACCACTGCTACTACCACTGCTACTACCACTGCCACTACCACTGCCACTACCACTGCCACTACCACTGCTACTACCACTGCCACTACCACTGCCACTGCCACTACCACTGCTACTACCACTGCTACTACCACTGCTACTACCACTGCTACTACCACTGCTACTACTACTACTACTACTACTGCTACTACTACTGCTACTACTACTACTGCTGCTACTACTACTGCTGCTACTACTACTGCTACTTCTACTACTATTTCTACTACTACTACTACCACCACTACTATTACTACCACTACTACTACTAAAACTGCTACTACTTCTTGTACTACCACTACAACACTTCTACTACCACTAACACTACCATCACTTCTATTACTACTACTACCACTACGACTACTACAACAACTTCTACTACTTCTACAACTTATTATATTATTTTTATTATTATTATTATTATTGTTATTATTATTATTATTATTATTATTATCATTATTATCCGATTTTCTAAAAATACTACTACCCACTTTCTTACAAATACTACTACCCACTTTCTAAAACTACTACCCATTTTCTACTACTACTTCCCACGATCTATTACTACAACCCACTTTTTACTACTGCAACTATACGCACTTTCTACTACTACTATCCACTTTTTACAACTAGTACTTCCCTCTTTCTACTGCTACAACCACCCACTTTCTGCTAATTTATCCACATCTACAAATCATTTTATACTACTACTACTAGTACGACTTCGACTACAACTACTCACTTCATATCACTACTACCACTACAACATCAACAACATCCATCCATCTATCCATTCATCCATTATATTATATACATGTACATTACAATACAATACATGTAAATTTTTAATGTATGGGTTATTTAGAATAATTTACTTGATCATTTATGTGTCTTCCCGTGATCAATTCCTTAAATTATTCATATACCATACTTTTTTTCTTATCTATTGGAGCTATTTTTAGATTATTTCTAATAAACGAAATATCTCTTGTAATTTCACGTGTTTGATAAAAAAACACGATTTCTCTTGTTTGATAATAATCGCAACTTTCCCTGCTTGATAAAAAACGCGACTTACCTTGCTTGATGATAAATGCGACTTTATTTACTTGATTATAAACTCAACTTTCCTTTCTTAATAAACACAATTTCTCTTCTTTTAAAATAAATGCGAGTTTTCTTGCTAAATAACCTTGACTTTACTTGCATGATAATAAACGCAACTTTCCTAGCTTGATACGGAAACGGTAAAAGACTTCAAGTAAGCGAGATCATGATGTGTAAGTCATTTCATTTCGATTTAACAAGAAACAATTTATCTTATTCAGAAAGATTTAAAAAACGTAATACATGTATCTTTCAAAAGAATACTATAACTATAATATGGTGTTTGACCAATAATTAATAATAAGAATGTTTATGATACAATTAAAAACGACTTGAATGTAAGACTTCCGTCTCTAAAAATTGAATGTTACCGATACATACTAAACGATATTTATAATATTTACGTTGGTCATGTGGATTATCAACTATAAAATTGAACACAATTGTGGCAAAATGTCAAGTTATTTTGATTACACATGGATGGGCATAATGTCACTTATCTTGTCACAGACCTGGCCCTCGATTGCTACACTCTTTCGGTCTGCCCACCTGGGTCTGTAAATACTATGCAGACCTATTCCATGTACGATGGCTATTACTTTATTATGCACCAGTTAATGAAAACATTCAAATTACCCTAAATGGTCACGAGAAGTGAGGCCATTATTTTTTTATATTTCGTTTTACTGACCAGCCGCATCCGTTTTGGGGAATATAAAAAAATCTGTTTTAACAAAAGAGCCGGTGTGTAAATGAAGGAGAAAAGCAATAATTACAAGAGAAATTACCTGAAACATGCATGTACACAGAAACCGGGGTTTCGAATGACACTTCAGAACGATCAAAATCTTTATAAAACGTAGCTTGATTTACTGAAGTAGAAGGTGCGCTGCTGTCGGCATAAGTAATCGTGGTATCAATGGGGTCTTCATTCAAGATTATATATCCATATTCAAATAAGCCAGATTGTAATGTAACATATTCGTCACTATAGTACTTGTTTGGAATTACCTGAAATATACAAAAGAAAGTTATAATCCATACATGTGTTGTATATCGACATAATCGCAATTCAATAACGCAAATATGTGTCGATATTGTTTGTATGTTGGTGCGTGTGTGTATATGTGCGTGCGTGCGTGTGTGTATGTATGTTTGTTTGTTTGTTTGTTGCTATAATAACAATACGGCCTACCGCCTTCGAGGTCGATTCCTTTGCATTAAAACTCCAAACCAGAATTAAAAAGCCAGTAAATACCGTTCAGTCCGATATAATTTCTAAACTAAATTATAAAAAGCATATTCACGAAAAGAAATATTTATATCGAAAAAAAATTGACTGTTTTCAATAAAGCGCGGGGAAAGGACACACATAAAAACGATGACATCAGACGTTCAACGGCCACGCGAACGCTGCTCATGAAAACAAAAGTAATTCAAATATGTATTCAAAATCATTTTACAATTTTAGGGAAAAAATGCTATTTGATTCGAGAAATATGTTATTTACTTAGAAAACGCAACCATTTCTTTTTATTTACATTAACGGAATCATGAAAATGAGCGAAATAGTTCGGCGAAGCTTTTTTATCCACACACTGTAGCTTATGAACTGTGGATAATATGTATGTTTTCGAGCCTGCAACATTTTCAATTTTGTTGTTCTGTGTGTTCTTTGGGGATTCCTTATTTCTCTCTATTTTATCGCCACATTAACGTTGTTAGTTTCGTGTGGAGGCTGTAAAACGTCGCCCAGTACATTCAATCAGGGATGTTATATTTCCGATCCTTAAAGATTGTTAAGCACGACATTATTGTTGTGCTTGTGGTATCTTAGTTCTTTCTATTCGGCTATGGATGTACCAAAATTCCAAATTTTACCAGTTCATGCTAAATGTTGAATACATATTATTCTGATGTTAGAGGGGCATAGACGGTAACTTGCACTTTCCATTACCGTCCATGAACAGGCTCTATCAAACAGAGTCTTGTGTTTTCTTTGGGAATTCCTTAATAATGTTTTTGTCATACAACTAAAGCATATATAGAGGATATTGACAGAATGTAAGTTAAATACTGAATTTATTGCACGAATTTGATAAATTTATATTATGCGAGCCTCTGGCAAGCATAACATTATTTAATTTATCAAATTCAATAAATTCAGTGATGAACCTTCAAGAAATCATATTTATCACATATCAAAAAAATAAAGTATAGTTAACTATAACGTTGACATTTCGCGCGTCTAAATGCTATCTTTGCATAACATAACGCAAATGACGTCACGACAAAATAATTATATGCATGGCTGCGCAGATACTTTTTTCGGAGTTACATAAGCGGCACGGGTATGTGATAAAATTAAAAGCAATATCACCTGCGCCGATGAGTCTCCTAGTGCAGACGTACTTGTAGCATGACCTTTGTTGTCCCAGCCAGATACAACAGCTATAATCTCTGTGCTAGTGATTTGCAGCTCATCACACTCAGTGTCACACAAAATATGGAGCAATTCATTTTCGTTCAGAGTAACTGTTGTTTGGGCAGCACCATTTCCAACATTTGTATTGTCAACCTAGATTCAAATATCGAGAAAAGAAAACAATATTTGTAAGATAACATGAAATCAAATGAAACAAAAGAACGAAGGGAAAAAAAGGAAAGATTCTGGTACCGAAGTTAAACAAGCACTCACTTTACAAACATCCTCAATAAATCTTCCACCTATAGTCTTTAGGTACAAAAGTATGATGAATTATCAGGTTTTTGAGCCGTGACACTTTATGTAATTTACTTTCAATGTCAAAAAGGAAGAAGTACTTGTAAATCGCCTTTATATTACGAATTGTAAATATAACAAAACTACCTTTTTTTGAAGGGACAGAAAAAAAAGAAAAATATATCTTTATAAAACCCTCGGTGTATATAGATGATATTTTTAAAACGCCCCCGTTTAACCCCTTTTGAAATGGGCCCGTTTTAAAAGGGGGTGCAGTCCCTTTTAAAATTTTTACTGAATTGTGATTGCGGGGAAAAGGAGTTTGATTGTTAAAAATTATTTATTTTAAAAATTTTTAACCTTTTTATTTCATCAAGTTTCCCTTTAAAAAATATGCGGGGAATCAGAGAAAAGCCCCCTTTTAGTGTAAGGGAAATTCATGTTTCAAGCATAGAGACAGTATAATCACGTTTACATGGGTTTGGCACAGCCCCCAATGTAAAAAATTTGTCTCGTGTTTTTAAAATGTTTTTCAACGGGGCCCTTTTTATAATAGGATACGTAAAAGGGGTGTGAGCTTTCTGTAAGAAAAAAGTGCAAACTGAAAATACTTGTTTTCGATAATTTCTTTTCCAAAATATAATTTTATTGTAATATGCGAAAAAAACACCAGGCTGTCCTTACAGACTTTATCTTTCTTAGTAAGTGTTTAAGTGTCCTGACGCCGGCAGGTAGTTTAACTCGAGCTTAATATTCCGGTCTGTATCGGAAGCCGGTAGTGTATCCAAAAGTCAAAATGCCATTAGATGACGCTTGATTTATGGTAATAGCGGTATTGCAGAGAGTTTTAAACGCTTTTATTTCAATTTTGGTTCAATTTAAATGCTGTATCAAAACATATACTTCTTTTCACTCCGGTTCACGGCAGTAAGTAACATTGCATTTTCCAGAGCACATTTCAGGCAACCGCATAGTTCCTGGGCAGGCTGTTAAGGCAGTTGCCCTTCACATTTTGAAAAGGAACTGAAACCCTTCTGTACATACCAAAGGGGAGAGATTATCTGTTGGCGATGCCCCGGGTAGAAAAGATATTCTTGATCAAATCACAACGAAAGTGGACAATGCGCCGTCGCAAATGTTTCATACCGGGGCGCCCGATTCACATTCCAGAGATTTTCTACCATTGAACTAACCGAAAACGGTTTCAACCCGAACTTTTAAAAATTTGTGGGTGTAAACTTTATCAGTGCCAACCCGGGTCAAAAGTATTTTGACAATCGGTCAAAGATCAAAAAGATAAGCTTTAGATACTTTTGCACCTGAACAACAGAGATGCGCTGCTGCTCAAGCATATTTAACCTACAAATTATGTAATAATACCTTGCAGCCAAAATGAAATAAATGCCCTTGGTTTAAAATAGATTTTAACGTTTTGAAATAACTCACTTGAAAAACCTCCAGGTTTAGTAAAACTAATTGTATTTAATCTCCACTTCTGTCGATGCAGCTGTGGCCACCAATAAGAACCTCTTGATCACCGTTAACGGCGGCTAAATGAAAAATACAAATCCAGTAGGTAAATCAGGCATATTTTATATATTGAATATCAATCTCACGAGACCCAGGGGCAGACAAGAGGTTATTTGGCAAAAAATCGCAAAAAAAAGAACGCGCGCTGGTAAGGAATGCAAAAATCAAGTCGCCGTTCATGTACGAGCAGAAATTAGTTAACGATTGACGATCGGTTATCTCCCTTGTAGAAAGGTTCACCAGTTTGCATTGTGTGGGAAGAAAAGTAAATGGTTAGAAAAATGGTGAAGCCTGACCAGGACTTCAACCCGGGACCCTTGGAACACAGTTCCGCGGCTTTTCCGACTGTGCTATTTGGTCGCTTGCATACCTTTTTCCCTAAATAGTAAACAATTTCAAAACATGTCAAACTCACCCGCTAAATTGAAATTTGCTTTTTAAATTGTTTAGAGTTACAGAGCAATGCTTATTAAACTTTGAGCTATATACAATTACGGCCACAAAGTTTGGGTGCCAAATGTCACAGAGTGAAAAAAAATGTGCAGCCTAACTGGGACATGAACCAGGGACCCTTGGAATACCGTACCGTGGCTCTATCGACAAAAACAAACAAAAAATCCCAGTCGCACTATTTATTTACATATACTTACTTTCTGTTGATGCAAATGGGCGATAAGAATCCCCGAGAATGTCATCAGGAAGGACAGTCAACGCGGAGGTATCTCTATCTTCTCAGCCCCAAGGATTACCCTATTTTACAGTCACGTGATTCAATTTTTAGACCACGATCTTCTTTTGTCCATGATGATTTCGTCGCCCCTGTATTCTGGTACTCACTTGGTATACTCACTTTGACCTATATAAAAGAGTTTGATACTTAAAGCGTGCAATAAAGTTACTCGTCAATGATGATGATGAGGAGGAGGAGGAGGAGGAGGAGGAGGATAATGATGACATTAATCGCTTTATCATGGCAAGGACGGGAAGCCTTTCTAGTGTTTCCTTATGCACTGGATAAAGAATTGCGCGTAACAAATACATGTTGAGCTAATTACAAAACTTTTTTTGTGGCATAATTTCTCACCAGTTAACGTTATAGATTTTTATAGTCTCCAATGTCTACAAAACTAATTATGCAGGAAACTGTTACGCGTAATTCAATACCCGGTATATTCAATGTCCAGTATATTCGATATCCAACATATGCAATATTCAGAATATTCAATATTCAGTATAATTCACTAGAAACCCCCGGCAAATCTTTTTAGAAAAAATTTTGATATCGCCTATAGATACCCCTTTTTTAAAAAAGATTTTGCCCGCCCACGTGCTCTAAAAAAAGGGGAAAAGCTTTGGGAAATTTGAAAACCAAAGGGGGTCTTTTTTAATTTCCGAAGCAAAAAACCCAAAAATTTCTCGTACATTTAATCAAAATCTTTATTAGTTAATTTTCCCCTCTTAAACCGATAAAATTCCAAAAAAATTAATGGGGTTTTTACTTTTTCTTTTTTACAACTTTAACAACCCTTGTGGGTTTTAAAATTTTTTGGGTTAAATTTTTTTAACCGGGGGGAAAGCCGAATACAAATTTAAGTTTACCGATGCCCAAAAGGGTTTAACCCCCAAAAAAATGTAAAAAAAAAATGGGGGTTTTTTTCCCAAAGAAAAATGAAAAAAACTGGGAGTCATAATAAGCCATTTTTCCTGTGAATTACCGGGATGAAAATGAAAAATTTTGATGGAAAAAAGCCGATTACAAACAGAAGATTTTTTGTAAGAACAGAAACCCCTGCTAATCGAATAATAGGATAATCTTAGCCCGAAATTAAAGGGAAGGGAGTGTAAAGGCCCGGGGTTTAATTTTGGTAAAAAGAAATTTTTCCCATATTTTTGTAATTAAAAACACAAAAAAAAATAAAAAAAAAATTTTTTTCACTTTTTTAAAAAAATTTTGGGGGAAAAATTAAGAATATGTCAAGAAATGTTTGCATTTTTTTTTGAAAAGATAAAGGGAAATAACTTAGTCACCAAAAAACTAAGGATGTCAATGATTAACTCTTTATAGAAAAAAGCTTGGCAGCTTACCGGGCTGTCACGTTTTGACAACAACCCATTCGTCGATTGTGGTTTTCCAGATAGTACTCCTGTTATGTGGACATTGGTCCCGAGACCTGGGGTGAACAACTTTAGATACAGCTTCCCTGAGCGCCTGTAATGCCGTATATAGGCCGGTATGGAACACCATCCGCTAAATTTGTTGCGACCGGCTTTTTAAAATATACATATAATGCAAATAAACAATATTTTTTCTACAATTTTGAGACATTGTCAGCATTCTAAATCAATTGTGTTCTATCTTAGAGGGGGCACTGGGGGGATTCACTCCTATTTTTTCAGAGGCAGGGTGAAAATTTTAAATAGTGAAAGAAGGAAAAAAATCAGTAAATGTTATAAATTCTCACTTTTCGTGAAGGGAAACAACCGGGTATTATATGTCCGAAACACGGCATTTAGACATCACCTATAGTCTTGATTGTCGCCCTTTCGTTGTCCATGTAAACAATTATCTGTCATTCAGTTTAACCCTCAGATTAACTTTGAATACATGACAAACAAAATAAATGTGAGAAAATGTTGTTTTAATGTTGTCAAATATCGAAATGTACTCTTTATTTTTTTGTGAGAATAACATTTGGGTGCCAGTCTTTTTTGTGAACTTTCGTGCCTTCAAAAAACGGTTTCTGAGACTGATGTCTAGCTCCTAATGCCACCAAATCCGATTTTTTTACCGTCAAACTGAAAATCATTTTTTTGAAATTTCTGAGGGTCATGTTTTTGTTTGGGTAAAGTTATGATATTCTTTTCTTGAGTTATAAATCATCAAATTTTAAGCTTTGTTGATTGCGATTTATTATGTCAATGTGCAATTGACTACAGTTCATTAAGCGTCAGCACACATATTGAAAAAAGAACTGATAAGTTTTTTAAATTACGTCATTTTGCAGGGGTGCGTTTCTTTTGCTGGAAAAATTTTAATGCCGATTTAGAAAAGGGGGTAGAAAAATTCCCAATAATGCCCTTGAACTCCAAAGTTTTAAATTTGTAATTAATGTGTCTTAAAAATGGCCATAAAAACATCAAAAAGGGGTGCCATGAATGCGTAATTGTGTCTCACTTTGGGTAAAAAAAAAACATTTATAAAGTGTCATTCTTTGTTTCCCTTATAAATGCAAATAAATTGAAACCCTTGGGTAATGTTATTAAGGGCCATCGTTGCCCATTTTTTCTTGCCGTTTTTTCTTTTTTCATGAAGTTTAAATTAAAAACCCTACATTATTTACAAACATTTAGCCCATTTTACTATTTATTAATAGAAAAGAAAAAAAAATTAACATTTTTTTAGTAGCAATTTAGTGGAATTAGCTGGATTCAAAAATTAATAGGTCAACAGGTATAAAATGCTCCTTTTAGGACATGATTGTATGTGTCCCTGAAATAGCGGATGGATCCTTATTAAAAGGCATAAAACACGCACCCACACAAACCCGCCATTTAGAAAAACTACTAAATTCCCAGTTTTCCAGATGGCCCAGTATCAATAGATAAGCCTGAGGTTTTGATGTTTTTGGCCTAGTTTAAAACTGAAACGCACAGGGGCGGCGTAGTTTCCGCAGTCCTGCATCCAACACTTGTGTGCCGCTTGATACCCAAAAGGAATTATCAACGGGGTGAAGAACACCAAGGTTAACACCTCATGAAAAAATACCAAATGAAAGCATTGTTTTGACATTTTACTATCTTGGGAAATCCTCAACATGAATTCAAGTACAAATAGAGAAATTAACTGTATTTTGGTTTTAGTACCGCCTGTTGAAACAGTAAAAAGGTAAGGGGGTTGAAACAGGGGTTAAATTAAAAATTTATAAAAATTAAAAATTTTGGGCCGTTTTTTTGAAAGGGCTTTAAAACCCGATAAATTTTGCGGTAAAACCCCTTAAAAGGGTTTTGATTTTGGTGGAAACCCTTTATAGCTAACAGAAACAAAATAATATTTAAATTGTGTATTTAAGGGCCCTTTTGTAGTCGAGTGGAAAAAAGGTTGTAGATTTAAAACTACTTGCCCCTTTTTAAACCCGTTTGTGGGTTCAAAACCCTTAGGGGGGCCCTTCGGATTATTTGATTTGGGGAAGTTATTACTTCTATGCTTTTCTCCCCCGGGGGCCGGGTCGTGCCTGAATAAGGGGAAAAGAAGGGCACCCTTTGAGGTCTTCGCCCCAAAAAGCGGAAAACGTCCCCCCCAAAACCACCTATACTGTGTCTTTTCGGTGTAAACGTAAAAAAAAATTTTAAAAAAACTTTAAAAGATAATTGGGTACTTCTGACCCCTTTTGGGGGTTTCCCCTCTTTGCTCGGGCAAAAGGAATTTTTGGGGGTCAATTAGTAAACCAAAAAAACCGTGTTTTATATTTAATGATAAAATTTTTACCTTTAACAACTATAAAAATGCCCTTTTAAAAATTTCACCCAAATTTTTTTTTGGGGAAATTTTAAAAAAGTGGGGCGGGAAACCCCCCTTGTAAAACCGGAAAAAAAAGGGCCTTTGGGGGTTTCCTTTTTTCCTCCTTTGGTTTAAATTTAAAGTAGATTTTTTGGGTTTTTTAAACTGAAATGGGATTTTGGTTTTCCCTTTTTTCGTTCAACAAGTTATAAAAATTACGCCTTGGGTTCTTAAAATCTTTTTTTAAAAATTTTTTTATGTAAAAAATGTATATAACCCTGTTTTTAAGCATACACGGAAGTTTTTCCATAAATTTTAAATTTCCGTCTTTAAAAAAACCGTTTAAAAATTAAAATTTAAATAAAACTTAAAAGGAGCTTTGGGCAAATTGGGTCTGTGTAGCAAAAGAAAAAAGGGGGACCATGGGCGCAGTTCAAGAAAATTTGTGTGCCCGGTTTTCGTACTTTAAAAAACTTTTATTTTGATTTTTTTCCCCTTTTTAAAATAAATTCCCCCATTTGCTCTGGTGTTTTTTTTTATTTAAAATTTATACAAATAAAATTTGGGTTAAAAAAGTTGGGAAAATTTTTGAAATTGGCGTTTTTTTTTTTTAAAACCTTTTGAAAAAAAAACCGGCAAAAACGGGAAGAAAAAAAATTTAGACCTTTTTTTTTCTTTTTTTTTCTTGGGGTGCCCAAAAGAATTTTAAAACAAAATAAAAATAATTTATATAAAAATTGGGTAAAAGGGGCATTTTATATAGGGAAAAAAGATGTTTTTTGTGGGATTTTTTGGGAACTATGTGTATGGTATGTCAAATACGGGTTTATTTTTAGGTTGGCAGACCCCCCGGTGAGATAAACAGGGAAATAAACACGATTTTTTGAAAAATAATTTTTAAAAGGTTTTTTTGCTAAATGTTTATTTTAAAACCATAATCCCCCTATTGGGTATTTTATTTTTTTAAGCCCGGACAGAAATTAATAACTTACGTTGGGCAAAATCATAACCGAAATTTGAAGAGGGTTTGGGGGAAACCCTTTGTCGTATGGGCATTAAAAAGGAAGTAAATGTTTGGTCCTTTTTTGCCGAATCTGAATCTTGAAAAGGTTTTTCCCAACTTTTCCCTAGAGAAAAAAATTTAATTGAAATAAAAATCTAAAAGTGATGTATAAGATACATTTAATAGGCCCCACCCCCGCACCTGCGCAACAAAGCTGTAAGGAGGTATACTGGTTCTTGCTGTCAAAGTTCTTAAACCGCTTACCAAATTTTAAATTAAACTGGACAGGGGTAATTGTGTGACGTAAACGTACGTTATACTTAACTTTATTATATTTTTTTTATAAATTCGCTATTTGCATAATGATATAAACTGTAATATTTCAGTCTTTTTTTTACTATCAAACCGGTATATAAGATAAGTTGAAGGAATTATTCGGTGTGTTTATATTTCTAATTGTTTGTTTATTACTCACAATAGTGTGTACAAAGAAAGACTTCAGGAAGCAGACGCTTAAAAGATAATTTTGAATCAGTATCACGAAACGTTTTAATTTTATAAGCCAATCAAAATCATTGTTGCGGGGACGATGCATCACCGTGAGCAAGATCAGAACAGTATTATGTATAGCCGCATTCAATGAATTACTGGATTTAAAACAAATAAGTCGCCATTTTGGCATTTAAATACTTTTTAAGGACCTGATTGGTTTCTACTAGACCGATAATAAGTGCCTGAGAGAGCGGATGGACGCTTAATAAGCTTAGAACAGGCATCATATTTATTAGTACACAGATATCTCAGATATATAGTGCTTTTCATTTCTAACTGTTTCTGTTTTAATTAGGTTTGCGAATAGAAGAGACGACGTAATTAATACATACTAGTACACAAAAATCTGAGATATCTGGTATTAAAGACGTTTTACTATTTCTGTAAAACTGTCCTTTTGGCAAATGTTTCTTTTAACGTTTTGGGAGACAGATATCAAAAGTTTGTTTGAATATGTCCTTGTAAGAGTCGGGTCGTAATGTAAGTAACATTTTCTTGTACATGTATACAGTTTAATGACATTTGCATATTTTTATTACTTTTGGGTGATTTGTATCTATTCTATTATTTGACATAACACTCATTGGTTAATGCCTTCGGGTAGGTCAAACTGGTGGTGATGGTATTGGTAGTTTTCACGGAGTACGGCAGTAAGCCTCATTGAATTAACCAGAGCTCAGTTCAGCCACCGTATGGTTCCTTGTCAGACTGTCAAGCAGTTTACTAGTTACTAGCAACAATTCCCATTTGACTCTAATATTGAGTAATTCCGATACAACCTTGACCTTTAAAGTTGAATTATTGAGACATTCATAAAATTTGTCAAATCTTTGTTGCTAATGGATGTATTTTACTTATTAAATTGGACAAAACAACATTTAGAACAAAGTTTCATTTAAAGAAACTCTGATATGTAAAGAAACTCGGGAATGCTATTGACATTGAACAACAATGTCAAATATGGAAATTTATTTAAATCTTGTAGAACTTTTGTAGTCAATTAATTTTACCCAGACTGACGGATATAAACGAAAAGAGACAAGTGTGATAGCGGAAATCAGAATTGGGTTCTGAACTTCATAAGTCATTAAAATGTTATATGAACAATGTCACGTACCAATGTTACTCCACATGACAAGGAGCCGGTGTCGATGTCTGCAGATAATGCGTAAATATCCGTCCTTTCTTCAGTTGTCGTCGTGCAACCGGATGCTATAAATAGAAAGTGACATCTACATTACGTTTTTATAATCCTAAAACTTTGTCATCTGCGTCAATTATAATGGTATACATATTGTGGAAGGGACAAGACGTGAAGTGGTTGCACACTTAATTCAAGCAAGAATAGTGTCTGCAAGCTTGAGAAAATGGCTACGGAGTCATGAATATTTACAGCCCCGGCACGCTTTTTCAAAAGGTAAGTGGGATGTTTGTGCTATTTTTTAATATTCCTATTCTTTTAGGCAAAGTTTATGACACACGGTTTAGGGTTCAGCTTTCTAGCTTTTGATTTGACGGAGTTATTGAAGATATAAACTGGTCATGTACATATTTTGCGATTTGACAGGTGACCATTCTGGTCGGATTTTCTACGCGTTTATTCACATCTTTGAGTTTTGAAACCCTAAACCATGTGTGTCCAAAACATTCCCGAAAGAAATAGGCATATTTTATTTTTTTAAATAACATACAAACAAACTTACTTGAAAAAATACGTATAATTGATGTAAATATTCATGATTCGGTACTGTGTCATTTTGTTAAGTTTGCCAACAATTTTCTCGCGTGAACCAAGTGTGCAACCACTTCACGTCGTGTCCCTTGGTGTCGCCCGTCGCGTTAGGTTCGACACAGTCATGACAATTTGAAGTGGCATTGCAACAATGTAATGTTTATATACTAGTAATGCGGAGAAACAATCGACAATGCAATGTGAATTTATGATAATGTCACGCTCTTAAATACAACGTTTCTCAACGTCAGGGGGATATTTCTCATTCCATAGTCTAGCCTCTTTTTGTATTGCCAAGTGTCGCCTCATAACGCCGATGCCGAGCGTTGCCTTACATTGTCGAACGTCGTAAATGGCGACTCGCCTTTAAGTACACATGCTCGAAATCTTTGCAGTGGAATGATCTTTAATGGGCACATTTTCCTTAAGTATTAGAAATATTGACAAAACAATAGAAATATATCACTTGGATATTCTAATAAGATATTGCTTGAAAAGCAAAGTTGATAAAGTTTTTAAGTGATTTGGTATGAACATATTTATTATCAATAATTATAATGTTTTGTTCTAGAACAACTGATTATCTATGACATGTATATAAACATATGTGATATTGGATCATTACACTTGCCAATATTACTAGTAAACAATTATTTTATGGTTTGTTTTTATGTTTGATACTTGAAACTTTCAAAATGATTATCTATTGTATTACAGACCTTCTATTATAGGCCAAATCACTTTAAGAATGTCAGTTAAAATACCTGTTGGTGTATTGTCTGCGTTTGGGTTTATGTTCGAGGCTACAGCTGTAATCCCTGTTATAGTATTATCACCATCTTTCCTCAGCCTCACTGTGAATTTAAACTCACTTCCGGTCACTTGTGAAGGCAAGCACATATACTTTACTATCAAATAGAATATGGTATATTATATCGTATGATATAAACATGTATAAGTATGTTATATGAAACATAATTAGGGGCGTCCGTGGCCGAGTGGTTAAGGTTATTTACTTCAAACCACTTGCCCCTTACCGCTGTGGGTTCGAATCCCGACAGGGACTTTGGATTCTTTCATGTACGAAAGCTATCCAGCTAGCTTACGAACGCTGGTGGTTCTACTCAGGTGCCCGTTCACACCTGAAATAATGCACGGAAGGGCACCTGAGGTCATCCTCCACCAGTAAAGCGCGAATGTCGCCATATGACCTACACTGTATCGGTGTGACGTAAAACCAAATTAAACAAACCAATTAAAAATAATTAATGTACAAGACATGAAGTTAAAGGTTTAAAGTTCTACTAACCTTGACATTTTCAGTTGGTTTGATGTAATTTTAAAAGAATAATTACAGAGTATTCTTTAATAGTTATTCTGACTTTAAATTAGAAACAAATATGTTTAAAAAGAGGCTTTTGCAGTATTTATTTATTGGCAATACTTTTAACATTTTAGCATTTTAGTAAATAGATTACATCAAAACTGGGTAAAATTTTAACTTGACATTAATCCACTTGTCACTTACTCCTGTTCGATCTAAATCCCGGTAGGGACTTTGGATTGTTCGTGTAAGGACGCTATCCAGTAAGTTTGCGGGATGTTGGTGGTTCAAGTCTTAAAGGTGTTAGCCTTTCTAAATGCATGTGGAATAGATAAATACAGAATCCCTAAAGAAAGCCCAACACGGCAAAATTGAAAATGTTGCAGGCTCGGTTTGATTGAGCCTGTTCATGGACGGTACTGGAACATGCAAGTTACCGTCCACGCCCCCTAGCACTGGCTTAAGCAGAATTCAACATTTAAACATGAAATAGTAAACATTTTTGAATTTAGAAACATCCGCAGATGTGTTCATACGGCGGTTATCATGGAACCTTCAATGTGACACTTCCGTGCCATTCCATGAAAAGCGGCGTATGGTCCCCAAGTAATAAAAAGCGTGTGCCCTAAACGAGCAAACAATGGGCGGAACTAAATAAAATGGAATTTTGAAAGGGGATCAGAGGTTATGAAGCCTGCGTATCACAGATAAGACGTCAAAAGACAAATTTTAAAAAGCAGGCAACATATCCTAAGGGTTATTCAACATTATTCAAGTAGGAATATTGGAACCACCCAACTAGAAAATGCCGAAAAGTTGAAACTAAAAATACCACAAGCACAAAAATAATGTCGTGCTAAACGATCTTTAAGGATCGAAAATATAACATCATTGATTAAATGTACGGGGAGACTTTTTACAGCCGCCACACGGCACAATTAACACGGATGTGATCATAAAATAGATAAATACAGAATCCCTAAAGAAAGCCCAACACGGCAAAATTGAAAATGTTGCAGGCTCGGTTTGATTTAGCCTGTTCATGGACGGTACTGGAAAGTGCAAAGTGCAAGTTGAAAGGCACTTGAGATCATCCGCTACCAGGAAAGCTCAAAAGTTGCCTTAATATTTATCTTCAAAGTGTTGGTGTGCAACCAAATAAAAGTAACGATTCAGTCATTTTGACAGAGACGGCCAACAACGCTTTCATTATTAAGGTATTTAGCCATTAACGTTATTAAGGTATTTAGCCTTTCTCAGTATTAAGATATTTAGCCTGTCTCAGTATTAAGATAGTTAGTCTTTCACAGTATTAAGGTATTTAGCCTTCCTCCGTATTAAGATATTCAGCCCCTCTCAGTATAAAGATATTTAGCCTTTCTCAGTATTTATATATTTAGCCTTTCTCAGTATTAAGATATTTAGCCTTTCTCAGTATTAAGATATTTAGCCTTTCTCAGTATTTAGATATTTAGCCTTTCTCAGTATTAAGATATTTTGCCTTTCTCAGAATTTAGATGTTTTTCCTTTCTCAGTATTAAGATATTTAGCCTTTCTCTCAGTATTAGCCTAAATAAGATAGAGTTGATTGTCAAATTCATAACAGACAATAGGTGTTGCCTAGTGGGATGCTGATTCATGCACAGTGTGGTATTCAGAACACCTTGTCAGTTTTCAATAATCATCTTGGAAACAAGCAAGGTCGAAAAGAGTTGAACTCCGTGACTTTTGATGTTAAAGAAAACTATGTGGGTGTAATCTTTGCAATGCGCCGCCGAAATTTAGCGATTGTTAATAGATGGGTATTAGAGATTAATATAAGATTGCTAAAAAGTAGTACCGTCCACAATGTCTGTCAACGACTTCATTTATATGGCCGGACCAAAGAATTAGAAAACCCCGTGCTCTGTTGACACCAGCAAACAATGTTTTCATTTAAATGAATCGACCTTATTTCCAGGATAACCACAAGCTCCATCGGCATTTCTAGATGATGACTTTACTAATATGACCAGGCCAAACAATTAGAATACCCCTGGCGACTCGATTGACTTCTCTATTATAATGACTGCATTAAGATAGCCTAAATAATTAGAATAACCCTTGTAGTCCTATTGTCATGACGTCTGTAAAATATTACGTAATTGTATAGGTCTAAATAAGTAGAATATCCCGAGTTTCATTGACGTACAGGTATATTTATAAAAGCTAGATTTATTGAAATGGTCTAAGTAAGTAAAAATAGCTTAAGCTTTGTGGATGTTTTTTTTTTTTTAATATGGACTTTATTGACATGGCCTAAACAACTAGAATAACCCGACTCTTAATAATGACTTCATTTGATATGGCCTAAACAACTAGAATAACCAGGACAACATTGTAATTTCTAAATAATGACTTCATTTGACACGACCTAAACAATTAAAATAATCCTAACTCCATTGTTATCTCTAAATAATGATTTCATTTGACATGGCCTAAACAACTAAAATAATCCAAACTACATTGTTATTTCTTAATAATGCCTTCATTTGATATGACGAAACAACTCAAATAATCCAAACTCCTTGTTGTCTCTTAATAATGACTTCATATGACATGGCCTAAACAACTAAAATAACCCAAACTCCATTGATATCTCTTAATAATTACTTCATTTGACATAGCCTAAACAACTAAAATAATCCAAAAAATAGATAAATACAGAATCCCTAAAGAAAGCCCAACACGGCAAAATTGAAAATGTTGCAGGCTCGGTTTGATTGAGCCTGTTCATGGACGGTACTGGAAAGTGCAAGTTACCGTCCACGCCCCCTAGCACCGGCTTAAGCAGAATTCAACATTTAAACGTGAAATAGTAAAATTTTGAATTTAGAAACATCCGCAGATGTGTTCATACGGCGGTTATCATGGAACCAAACCCCATTGTTATTCTTTAATAATGACTTCATTTGATATGGCCTAAACAACTAAAATAATCCAAACTCCATTGTTATCTCTTAATAATGACTTCATTTGATATGGCCTAAACAACTAAAATAACCCAAACTCCATTGTTATCTCTTAATAATGACTTCATTTGATATGGCCTAAACAACTAAAATAATCCAAACTCCATTGTTATTCTTTAATAATGACTTCATTTGATATGGCCTAAACAACTAAAATAATCCAAACTCCATTGTTATCTCTTAATAATGACTTCATTTGATATGGCCTAAACAACCAAAATAATCCGAACTCCGTTGCTACCTCTTAATAATGACCTCATTTGACGTGGCCTAAATAACTAAAACAACCCAAACTCCATTGTTATCTCTTAATAATGACTTCAATTGATATGGCCTAAACAACTAAAATAACCCAAACTCCATTGTTATCTCTTAATAATGACTTTATTTGACATGGCCTAAACAACTAAAATAACACAAACTTCATTGTTATCTCTTGAATAATGACTTCATTTAATATGGCCTAAACAACTAAAATAATCCGAACTCCATTGTTACCTCTTAATAATGACTTTATTGATGTGCGGTTCACATTTAGTGTATTTGGAGTTCCATTTATATTTCTTTATGATAGTTGCCTAAAATGATTAGAATAACCCGAGATCCATTGACGACTCTTAATAATAGCTTCATTTGAATGGTCTAAATAGTTATAAAATTGATATTACATTGATAATTAGACTTATTTACATTTTTAAATAGTGCTTCATTAAAAATCAAATTTTATGATGCTTATTAATTAATTAACAAACCTGTAACGCCACAAGCTGTCTTCAAAAGGCCGCATATTGAAGCCCATACCAAGAATGTTTTCTGCAAAGATATAAAAAAAGAAATGAAATCGGTACGACATCAATCCATGCATGCAGTAAAAGGTCAAAATAAGCCCCTGAAAATACATAAAAATAGAGAATAACTGCATGGAAACACATATAAAGTAAAATAAAAAATAAAAAGCTAAGATATAAAATTATCATATTTAGGCGAATTTTGTTTTTGTTTTTCCGATTTTGAGCGAAATAACCCACACCTACTTTAACCAAGTACTAGTATAAAACGTTCAAATTATGCATTTTCTTGCATTTTTTATTAAAAAGCACATAGAATTTATGAAAAACGAAACAAGATTATTCAGGTAACAGAAAAATGTGCAAAAAAGGCATTTATCATTATACTACTAGTTTGACAATTTTAAGACAAAAACTGAAATGCTGTGTATTTCATTGTTATTTAATTATTAAAGGATTATTTCTGAAATGTCTATACTCCTTTTTGTCGAAAATTGCATAATCTTTGCTGTAAATTTACCATAATAAGATATATACCGGTTTTGCATAAAATCGGCGGCCATTTTGGACGCCATCTTGATTCTCAAGCGTTGTGAAAGCAAAATCTTGTAAGATTCGGATTTTTGGAGGGTCTGTATACTTGCCCCGATGTAAGTTTCAGATTTGGACAAAAAATGATTAAATGGCCCTCAGCTATTTGGCTTCAAAGTGTTGGTGAAAGGACATAGAGATGTTAATACTTGGTGAAAATATCACAAAAATATCATAAAGAATAGTATCACACTCAATTTATCTCATATATAACTAGTATTATATTGATATTATCATATACAATCCACAGTATACTAGATTAAATCCTATTATAGGAATGAACTAAACGAAACATTTATATCACAGGTAGTTAAGTATTTGTGCTTTTAACTAAAAATCTAAGAATAATAAAATGCCAAGTATTAATCGGCATATGTGCTAAAGGCAGTGGACATTTTACAGATGCCTTATGAACACTTATGCAAATATTTCCGAATAGCAGTAATTAAGCATTCGAAAACTTCATAAATAACTGCCCGAAATTCCGGGTCACTGTGTGTCAATATCAAAGTGGATTTGTCTACAATGGAGTAAAGTCGTTTATTTTATAATTACGTAGAGGATATATTGAATGAGTTGAATAAAATTATATTATGCGAGCCTCTGGCGAGCAAAACATTATTTTATTCAACAAGTTCAGTAAATTCAGCAATGAACCTACACAAATATAATATTTGATTTAACACATACCTAAAATAACGACTGTTTAAATTGCAAACGAATAACTTTTCATAAACGCACCTATATATTTACGTAACGCTAACATTTAGCGCGTCTTTACCCTGTTTGTGTAAGGTAAATGACGTCACGTCAAAATATATGCACTGTCGTGCAATACCATTTGTACGGAGTCGCAAAATCGGTACGGCAAGGTGAGCAATGGCTTTATTACATTCCTGCACGGTGGTTGATGGGATAAAGGTAAGCGTTACAGTATAGATGCGTCCATTATTCTCTTTAACTGTTAACCGTTCTTGTGTCGAATATTATAAAATATAATATTGGAGTAGATTCAATGCTAAATTTATTGAACTCGTTGAAAAGCACAATATTATGCTCGCATGAGGCTCATATAATATAATCTTATTTAACTTGTTTAATAATTTCATCATTAAACCCAGTACAGTCAATCATCATCCACTTTAAATCATATAATTTTATTTTCTATGATAAACTATTCATATAATCCTTCTTACTAGTTTAATCAGTTAGAACTTAAAGTTTATCAAGCAATAGCTTTTAAGAATATCCAAATGATATAGAGGATATTTGTTCGTTTGTGTGTAAGATGAAATTTTATTTCATCGAGTTGGCTTTAAAAACAGTAGAATACTGTTTTTAAAGTTCAAGAGATGAAATAAAATTACATCTTGCGCAACAAACAAACAAATTTTCTTTTTATTTCATGCTTAAAAACAAGTTAAAACGAATTTTCCATAATATTTACGTTAATATTAAAATCTGTTTTCTCAATTGAGAGCCCCATATAGTCGGAATGTCTCATTAAAAACAAGAAGTATTGAGCTGAAAAATAAGTCCGACAATCAACGTTAAATGACGCTGAAATAATTTATTTAATTAAAAATATGAATGATCGCTTGTTTTAATATTAAAAACAAACAACTCTTGTAGGAGAAAAAGTCCAACTATTTATCCATATTTCTGTTACTTACTGCGAATTTATATTAGACATGGCTTTGTTAAATGTAAGCGGCAGCCTTTTTTTAAAGTTGTGTATTTCACGGGAGGAAAATAATTGTGTTTGATTCAGAGGGATACCATTTGTATTTGTTAGTCATACATCTTTTTAAAAGAAAGAGAACTTATTTGAGGAATGTAACAGACATAAAATAAGTGTTGACAGATGTGAAAACATTCATAAAAGCAGCTAGGAAAATGGAAAACTTGGAAGCTGGCCCAGGAACGCTGGGTTGTTTACTTGTTCTTCGAGCTGATGGCTGTCATTGCTTTTCAATTGTCATGAAGTATACGGCAGTAAGTGCTCGTAGGATAGTTTAATATGCCCAAATGTCATCAAGAGCAGTTTTGCATGTGGAAAGAATGTATTTTTCAGACTGTTAAAATAAAACAAAAAATTTAGAGACGAAATTTGGTGATTGGAATTTGAATGAATAGAGGTAAGCTTTCTTATTTTTATTACTTTTGACATTTAAGTTATTTATCAATTTCAGCTTTGCTTTTTCTTTAAACAGCCTAACATTGTCAGAATTGTCAGCAAAAATAAAATTGAGGTACCATATGGGGAAAATCTTAAAAAAAGTAGTTTCGTCATTGAAAAGTGTGAAATTATATTTTGATAATTTTCACTGTGAAATTAGCATAAAAAGCATAAATAAACATTTCGTTTGTTTTATCAGTATTTGCAATACTTAAGAAAAATTTGATCACTGTTGACCAATCCACATTATTTAATTCTAAATGATGTCCATTTAAGATAATTATTTAAATCAAAAGTCTGAAGGGCCATAATGGCTTACGGATTTGATATAGCTATAACGTGGAAGGAAACAGGTGCTTGGCTTGGATAGTATGTATTATACATGTATTATACATGTACATGTTAATTCAAAATGTTTTAAAACATATTTTTAGGAAACCTCAAAAGAATGTTGTTGTTTTTATTATTCGAATATACTATCAATAAAAAAAGGGGGGGCGGAACTATCACCAGGTCTTATTTTGATTATGTCCCATATATCTTTATTAACTTTCAACCAATTTCCACCAAATAATGCGCAATCTACTCAAAAATGGGTTTTGTCTCCAAGAATGAATGTAAAATAGTGGACCAGTTTCTACGTAAAAAGATCGAATTTTAAAGCGAAAATGTCCTTTTTGTTGACATCGCTTGACTGAGCCGTAATATAACGACTTTGAACATAAATCGACCTCTTGCTTAATGATATACCACACACATTCGGTGAGTTGATCTCAAAACGCATTTAACACACAGTACAATCAAATGGGCAGACAGCCGTTCAACCGTCGACAGCCGTTCTAGTAAATACATGTCGTAAAAATCACATTTGACAGACGGTAAGTATTTATGTATTCAATTGTGTTCGAGAGATTAATAGTCTATATCCAAAACAGCATGCTTACAAATTTCTGGCCCTGTGCTGAAAATAACCGCACGAGATAAATAACCAATCAGATTACACTATTTATAGGGATTTTCGTTATTAACTGGACATGTGCTATACCGCTACTTCACCTGATTTATAAATACAAGTTATTGATTGGTCAATCATTTAAATTTACATTTAGCGTCATTGTTACCCTGATTTCTGACCCAATGGCCTCAAAATTAATAGGTGTCATCTACAGATCAGGTGCAATGATCTCTCCATAACTTATTCCTTCTAAATCATTTATCAGACAAGGATTTTACATGAAATGTCATGTTTAAATTGACCCTTGGCTTCAAACATCCTTATAGGCTATCTACTGTGCATGGGCATTGCCCCTACCAAATAAAATAAATTAGAAGGTGACTTTCTTATATAATCCTAAAGACGTGTATCAGGTTTTAAGTGAACACGACAGTATTTTCAAAGATTAATGTTGCATATTAAACTTAATAACAGAATTTTTCTAAGTTAAACAAAATCATAGTGTTATCTGACTGGCTAATTATCCTTTGCGCACGACTTACCTATCTCGTTCCCACGACATAGTAACTCGTGGCCTAGGCATAGTATCTCGTGGCCACGGCATATTATCTCCTTCCCACGACTTAACTATCTCGTGGCCACGACTAAGTAACTCATTGTCACGACATAGTATCTCGTGGCCACGACTTAATTATCTTGTGGCTATGTCTTAGTAACTCGTGGCCACGACATAGTATATCGTTTCCACGACTTAACTATTTTGTGGCCACGACTTGGTAACTCGTGGCCACGACATAGTATCTCGCGCGCACAAGATAGATAAAAACACACACATGTCACCTTTGTGCCACCGTCGCTCTTGCATGTACAGAAAGTTCCTTGCGAAAGTATTGGTAAACTGCTTGATATTCTGTCTAGGAACGATGTGGTGGTTGATCTGTGCTCTGGTGAATTCAATGTGGCTAACTGTCATGATCCGGAGTGAAAACTACCAACACCACCACCACTTTGGTTAAAATTGGGATAGATATGAACATTATTTTGTGCTGTCTATAGATACCGTGAAGAGCGGAAAAGCATATTAAACAAGGTGCGCATTGAGGCACTTCATGTGGAACTGGGACTGAGAAAAAGGAAAATCTAGAAATTATTGAAGTGTATATGGATTTCGAAAGCATGAGGTCTATTAGAAAGTACCATGAATTAAAGAATATTTTAAATGAACAAAAAGTTTGAATATTTCATAGTTACTGTAGCACAAAAGCTCTGAAAATTGTTTCGTTGAACGGTTTATTAGCATTATTCATTCTTGCTGATGAGTGGATGTCGATGTTATCATTGAAAGAGCTGATGACGTTACTCAAATTTTGAAGACATTCAAACTTAAATACCCTATATCATTAAAAGAAAATTTTTGAAGGTATGGTTTGATATATTAAATGATGAAATGTTGACGTTTACGAATCGTATCTTAAAATGATTTACAAAATGTATTATGATGAGAAAATGTAAGTTTTTGTGACTTTTTTTAAAGTGTCGCTTCTTATCGGAAAATGTGTGTGTGTTTTTGTTTTCACTCAAAATTCACGTAAAGTAAAGCTTGCACAGGCCCAGTAATTATAAATGTTATATTTTGAGGCATAATACGACCTATCGTATACGTTAATCTAAAACCATGTGCGTTTCAATTTCACGGGCTGTGGAGCTGTGACAAGCCAGTCGTATCATTATTATATATCACTTTATAAACTTTATTTGTAGACCAACTTTAAATTAGTTTATTAAAATGGAGTCCACGTACTGTAGACAAAAAAGTTTGCCTTTTTAATGGTATGCTAAATATACTGGTGGAGTTCAGGGTATTAACAATGGTATCAACATTCTAACACCAATGGTAACATAAACTACCATTTGTACCACTGCCTAACATTTTAATCTGAACTCAGTTTATCATTATTTTGGTGCATTCAGATTATTCCCCATTGAACCAATAATAACTTACCATTGGTAACATAAAATACCATTGGTACCGGTGGGTTACTATTTAATCTGAGCAGATTTAAAGCAGCACGCCTCCAGATTCGTGCTAATTGTCATGAAAAGTTTGAAAATGTATTTGAATGTGTAATATTATGAAGTAACTAAAAGGGAGCAATTTACACATTATCAATGTCACTTTACAAACCACGTAAATTACCAAAAAGTGGTCGCAATATGCATAAATAGCCTTAACTGCGTTTGTAACAGAAGAAATATAGTTGTAAAAACTGACAAATCAGTCATTAATCGCACATAATTTGTAAAATATTACTTGAATCTTGAAACTTTTTTACTTTTCCTTACATATTTGTACATTTTTCTCTAGTTTGATTTTATTGAAAAGTTTTCACTCGTCTTAAGGCATGTAGCTGTAATCATACGATTTGTGTTATTTGCAATAACATGGGCATTGGTACCTATGGTAAATCAATGGTACCAAGTTTTTATTGTACTGATATGAAAATACTACTGTGCTTATTTTTTACTACCATAATCACAATTTTTTTTTCATTCAGCACTGTTTTTTTTTCAGGTGATAAACATCCTTCATGTTCCTAGTCTATAACATCCATTATTACACCATTAATAAACACAACGTTTGGCTTTTCTCTACAGAAAGACAAAGTAATCATTTCAGAGGTTTTATATGCATTTAATATTTAGTATAATGGAGCCTGTGAGCATAACTAATTATGGTGGCTGATTTGGTACGCTTTTGTGCGTCGCGTGCGGTGGCACTAGCGACAACACAACAAAGCGCCAAACGGCGCGTTGTCGCGCTGTCGTCTTGTCGACCTATCTCTAGTGCGGAACGCCAAACGGCGCGTTATCGTGCAGCGTGTTGTCGCGATGTCACATTGTCGACCCGTTCAAATAGAAGGATTTGCTTATAAGCCAAGAGACAGGGCGACATCGCGACAACGCGCCGCACGACAACGCGCCGTTTGGCGTTCCGCACTAGAGACAAGACAACAGCGCGACAACGCGCCGTTAAGTGCTTTGTCTTGTTGTTGCTAGTGCCAATTAGATGCACAAAAGCATACCAAATTAGCCACCATAATTACATATGCATTCAAGGGGATTGGTCTACATAGGCAAATTTTTCTGTATGTATTTTTAATATTGATTAAAACAAAAAAAAATGTACCATTTGGATAATGTAATAAAATATTTTTGGAAAACAAAATGTTGAAAGAGTTCTAAAATGAACATATATGTATGATGACTATAATAATATTTTTCCCAAACAGTTTATTATCTGCTATAAATTGATATGTCATATCGATCGGATCATGTATCCAACACTTACCAACAACATTCGTAATATTTCTTTTGTGGATTGTTTTCACGTATGATACTTATCACTATAAACATAATTATATATGGTATAGACCTTTTTACGTTACGGTTTTTCCATAGAAACGGAAGTAAAATTTCGCGCGTGCGCATTCAGCGTAGGGCAAAAGGCAATGACAGAAGAATACATTTATCAGCATTCAACAACTTCTTAAACAATTTGATGTTATCATAAAAAATTAATCATTTGATAAGATAAGCTTATTTTGAGAAATAACTGATGCGATGATGAATTTGAATAATTAATTTGATCATTTCTGCAGACATTCCATTATAGACCAATAGACTTCAAAAGCATGATATTTATTTTATGTGGACATTGATGTAAGGAGTAAATGTACACTTATTATAATAGGACATCGAGATCTACATGGTATATATATTGTCGTTTCGAAGTCTGGTATTGGATTTTGTTAAATTTAATACAGAAGACAAAAAAACATGAAAGATTTAACACCCGTCACGTATATACCTCAGCGTTTAAAGCAGCATGCCTCCAGATTCAAACTTATTCTCATTAAAATATACTAAAATGTGTTTGAAGAAAACATATTGTGAAGTGAACAAAGATAAACAATTTACACATCTCCAACGGCGCTTACAATCCGGGTAGATTACCGAAATAGGTCAATATATGCAAAAGTAGTTCTTTCTGCGTTACTAACGCAGTACAGTTCTTACTGTGATAGTAACGCAGTACTTAAAATATGGCGATAAATACTAAAATATCCGTCACTAATCTCACAAAACATCTATTGTTTTTACATGTCTGATTTTCTTGATATATTTTGGCTTTTCTGAAGGTATGCAGCATTAAAATGAACTTGTGACGAACTCAAAAAGTGTGATTATCATATGGGTCGGCAGTTTGGCATTCTGTTACTTGACAGTTATAGATTATATTCTTGTTATACCATTTATACCGGACCACACTCGCCTTGCTAAGATTACGTTCTTATTGAAATAAAGTTATAGTATATTTTTGAAAGACTGAAAAACAACAACATTTGAAATAAATACATATACATTTATAAGCTTTCGGTGAAAAACTATTTTAATTTATGATAACTAGAATTATAACATACCAGCTGAATTAAATCCATTTTAGTAAAGATGTTCACATATGATATAAGAATGATATGTCACATGCATGAACAACTTATGCACAACATCATAGACGATCCGTAACCAGGTGTATATAGTTACGCCTTGGTGTTCGTTACTTTGCTTCGTTTAAAATGATGATTTTATCAAATATAATTAATTTAATGCGTGTGCATGTAAAAAGTGAAAGAAATTGCAAATTAGTTGCAAAGTGTTTAATAAAAGCATTTTCGCTCTAAATATATAACGTTCTGACTGTTTTGGGTCATACAAATTGTTTAAACAGGCTATATATGGCTCAGTGTTAACGGTTATATTGCATATAACCGTTTATATGTCGCTGAAGCACAAGACCCCTCTCTTAAGTCTAGGGCACTGGATCGTCTCACTGGTAGAGTCTCGTAGATCTGAGGCCAGGGGATGGCAAATCAAATCAACTTCCGACTGTAGCAAAATATATATTCCTTTATTATAATTATTAATAATTTTATGATTTAAGTTAAGGTTATAAAAACGAAACGTTCATAGAACAATCCTATCTTTTTCAAAATATATTGTTTGATTTACCCTATTTGTCAAACTTAAATTCGTCATAGAAAAACATTTAAATAACAAAGGAATAGTAAAAAGGAAAATGTGAAGAGATGACGTTATTGTAAGTCACTTACAATGTTATAGCGATGATAAAGGTAAATTTGTACACCTGTGACATATACATTGTCAAATTATCTGTCAGAAATTTTCGTGAAATTTAAAGCATGAATTCACAAAGCTGAAAGTTTAATGGTCTTGTATGTTGTAATTGAGGATGTACACCAGGCTTAAGAGAAATCATATATATGTATATAATAATGCTTAGAAAACAAGTGTCAAACATCAAAGAATATAAAATATGTAACATTTGTACTGCATATATTTGTACATATTAAATGTAATCATTAAATTATATGCATTCTTTTCTTATTGGACAATTTGACTAAGACTTTATAGAAAATAATTTTTATTACCTCCCTTTATTTTCATGAAATGTTAAATTCGGTAATATCTTTATAAATAATGCTTTTTTGAACTTACAAATTGATTAATCTTAATTTGAGCATAATATTTATGATATAAAACCAAAAAAAAACATGTGTTACAGCATGAATTCATGAAGTTGAAATCGTGAATTCATGAAGTTGATATCGTGAATTCATGAAGTTGAAATCGTGAATTCATGAAGTTGAAATCGTGAATTCATGAAGTTGAAATCGTGAATTCAAGAAGTTGAAATCATGAATTCAAGAAATTTCATTGTAAATTTATGGAGATTAAAACATGAATTAATGCAGTTGAAATGTCCCCACCGGTCATATGTATATAATCGTTCGATTCCCGCTCATTCACTTAAATATATATTAACTAATGTTCTTTCGAATGAGACCTTTATTGAAACAAGTTTGTTTCTTCTTTAGCAAAAAAGCATGCGAAAGGTCGTTTTGCAACTGTAGAAAATTTGTTGTTTTTTTTTGTTTATTTCGAAAATATTTGGAAATATTTTTGCTTAAAAAGCAGAATGAATGTTTTGTAAATTACAATTATTTAACAAAATTGACATTATTATATAAAGTATCATAATAAAAGTTTGTTTTACGCTTCATTTGTTTTGAAGATTGTATGGCGGAGAAATGGAGTTTTTCTTGGCGCAATATTCCTTCTACAAAGGCAACAATTTATGTTATGTTATCAAACTTGGTAAGTCTATAGAAACATTTCCTCTGCAAAAGAGATTTTTTCCAAAACGGACATAAATTATGTTAATCAAACAATTTTAAGTTCGAGATTTACTTTAAAAAAATATCTATATCATTTGATTAAAACAAACAGTATATAAAGCTGCATTTCTCCTACCACAATATTTCAAGAAAATCAAGCTAGAGTAAACATTGTGTGCTTTTGCACCTAGAAACTCTGTTGCATATTTAGTCACACCGATGCAGCAAAATTTCGGTACACGGTTTACTCGATCATATAAGAGTTCATGGTGATATTGTAGCTATAATGATCAATGTTACTTTTTTTTCGGAACATGAAACAGTCAAACGCTATTCAGAAAACAATAATCGATTTATACAGTTTAAAGGATTAAAACGGAATGAACCATTACTCGTAGTGTCAAGTAACGTCAATGATATTTTGCGATTTTTCCTTGTACCGATTTGTTCACTTCGATGTTAATTTTTCGTTTAAGTTAAGTCGTATTTTAAAGCGGAGCATGCACATTACATTTTAGTTGACTAGTTCTAATAATTTAAGGCTTAAAATGCTATGCATTAGCTTCACTTTGATACGCAAAAATTGATGACGCCAGCAATCATTCTCAACACTGGAGATGTCTGATGACCTCTTCAATCAGAGGTTGATCCTTGTGTCGTTGCATATAAATAAACCAGTTACATCTGGGCAGCTACGGTATCACGCACTACACCCAGGCACAGAGCTATATATAATGAAGTATATGACCCTGAAAATAACAACTACATAAAACTGGGGGAACGTCACGCAAACAAAAAAGTAAAAGAAAAATACGTAGGTATTATATAACAGGTATATGTGCGTGATCATCTTTGATAATGCCCGTATATAAATAGATTTAGGAAACGCTAGGTATGTGCTAAGAAAAATGACACACCTCGACGAACAGTTGATTTTCAGCACCCTCAATGTTCACGCTAAGAGAGAGAGAAATGCATCATACAACTTTTGTCACTCCTTGGGGCGCTATCGCTATAAAACAGCCCCTTAAGGATACATTCTGGCGACGGATATACTCTACGATGAAATAGTTGCTGAGATCCCCAACAAAACTTAATTTGTCGATGACTTTCTTCTCTGGTCTGAATCAATAAATGAGAGTTTCCAAGCTGTACAATGGCTTGATATATGTGGAAGACAGGGCGTCACACTCAACCTTGACAAGTTTTGCAGAAGACACGGTTGAATTCGCTGGATTCGCAATAAGCCCCAACACAGTTTGCCCATGTGCAAAATATCTAAGTGCAATTATGGACTTTCCAACTCCGAGAAATATCACTGATGGCAGATCTTGGTACAGTCTTATTAGTAAATCAAGTATCGAATGCTTTCAGCATGTCAGACACAATACTAACAGAGCTATTAACCAGGAACACCGTTCATCTGGGATGACAATATTAATGCACTATTTTCGGAGTCTAAAACTGCCATTTTCAATGAGATTGAAGAAGTCGTGCGAATCTTTGACAAGACAAAACCTACCTGTCTCGCCGCCGACTGGTCGAAAGTCGGGAATTCGATTCTGACTGTTCAAGAAGCATTGCAACTCTCCCGACAATCAACTATTTTGTTGTCACACCGGTTTGAAGAGAACATTTGCCGGAATTAAGTTCACGCAAACAGCTGGGTCTCGATATACACCAGCGGAAGGTGAAGCGTTTGCAGTTGCCGATGCTCTTGATAAAGCAAGATAGTTTGTTCTTTGGTGTGAAGATCTTGTAATCGCAGTTGACCATAAACTCCTGTTAAAGTTTTTCGTTGACAGATCCTTTGATGACATCTCGAATTCACGTCTCAGAAACTTGAAAGAAAATTCCCTCCGCTATCGTTTTCGCATAATTCATATTCCAGGGGTCAAGCATCTCGCTGCAGATGGAGTATCACGTTATCCTACCGGACAATCTGAAAAGCAATCACTTCAAGATGACATTACAGCAATTAACAATGTACCTTCTATGAGACATGTTCTCCTCCCCACATTGCCGTCAACATATTCTGTTCTCAATGACAATGATGTTGATACCTGCATCACCGCATCAGCCATGTGCTCACTTGACTTGCTTGCCGTTAGAGTAGTCACCTGGGACAGAGTTCGCACTGTCACAAGTAGTGACAATAACATGCATGATCTCCTTAACCTTATAGAATGCAGAGTACCTGAGTCTCGCAAAGAATTTCCTGCACATCTTCGTGAGTATTTTCATTTGCGTAGATGGCGTAATACCATACAAGGATCGTGTAGTCATCCTTTTCAGCTCTCCAACAAGAAGTCCTTGCAGTTCTCCATTCAACACATCAAGAAATTACATCTATGGTGTCTCGAGCGTATTTTGGCCAGGGATAACACCTGTTATAACAGCACTTCAAGCTGAATGCAATCACTGCAATCGTATCGCACCTTCGAATCTAAGTGCTCCGCCTACACCCCTAATATATCCAGACTACCCGTTGGCATGTGTTTGTGCAGATTCTTTTCACCATCAAGGGGTTTGATACTTAGTTATAGTTGATCGATACTCGAACTTGCCCATAGTTGAACGATCTTTGAATGGTGAAGAGGGCCTTATAGCTTAACTACGTCGAACATTTGTGGCATTTGGAATTCCAAATGAATTGACATCATTCTCATCACAGACCTCATACCATATCATACATGGACGGAATCACTTGATGCAAGAGAGGATGCATTAAGACATCGAATCCTTATCAGAGTACACTAAAAGACGACTAAACTCTCTATAGTCTGCCGGGTTCGCATCCGAAATCAAGCAGAAAGTCATCCTCTGAAATGGGATAAAACTGACGTTATCATTTAAGTCCGCAATTCAGACCAATACGGCATGGAGTTGATGCTTGGTAGGGGACAAAGCACCGAAAAGTTTGTGAAATATAAAATGTTCTGCAGGATAATGCAGAGTCCGTTATTGGGATGTTGCAAATGGAAATCGTTTTTTTTTGCAGTCCTTCCGACACCAAGCGACTTGAGACATGCGAACATAATCGGAACCACAATACCGACAACGAACAATCGGATCACACATTTCTCTCCCATCGGCAATTTTGATTATCACTAGGGTCACCATCCATAAACGCTTTGACTGTTCGGCAACAACGAAGATCATGATCTGGGATCCGCCTTCCCAGCCAAACTCGCTCATAGGGGGACACCTCATACCAGACATTGATAACTCAATTAGTCTTACCCCGTCGACCGCGAACTGTCACCGTGATGCCGAAATGACTAGTGTTATCATAGCTCTTACATATTAATATTCATGTTTGGTTTCAGTTCGTTTCTTCAATGAACAGGAGTTTAGCATGAAATATAATTGGATGTTA